GCCGCCGCGGCCGCCCCCCTCTGGCCGGGGACCCCGCAGGCAAACTGGTCGCGGCCGCAGCCCCGGCAGCCCTCCTCGTCCTTCCCGCTCTCGGGGCAATCCCAGTTGCCGTCGCAGCGTTGCTCCTGCGTGAAGCAGCCCCCCGAGGCCCCACCGCAGCGGCCCTCCCAGGGCGGACAGTAGGTGCCCACGCGGAAGGTGGCGTTGAAGCCGCTGCCTTCCGAGCCGGCGAGCGTCCGGTAAGTCAGCGACAGCAGCCCGGTGCGGGACTCCACTTGGACCGATTTGTAGTTGGAGGCGCTGGTGATCTGTTGATGCATCAAAGCGGACGGCGGGTTACACTGCAGCCACACCCATCGTTAAGTCGTTGACTATTTCTTGCATTTATTGTTTTCATCAAATTCATTCATGAACATGCCTTTATTCATGGGATGAATTGAGTTGTTATTTAAGAAAAGTCGCAAAGTCACTGATGCGGTAATTTATCTTCAAGCAAAAAAATCAGCAATTCAATGAATTAAACCTATTTCACATACCAAGCATTAAAAAAAATATATTAACTAATTAATCATTTCTTTGTATGACTAAATACATATGACCATGATTCATCCTTTTCTTACATAATTTGGGGTCAGCTATTAAAGGTAATCAATTATGACTCCAACATACACATTTTGATTGACTAAAAAGAGATAAAAATGTTTTAGGATGAACCATTTCTGTTTTTAAAGTGATGGTTTTAGATCATTGGTTCATTATAATTTCATGATTGTTTCAATAGAATTTTAGTAATCATCTTATTACAAAAATACATAGTTCACGACTAATTCATCTATCTAGCTAGAGACGTGTAGAACAACATCAACGTGTCAACTAATTACAAACCCTTGATCCAATTTTTTTTTTTTTTTTTGGTTACACTTTTCACCCTTCATCTACAAATGACTTGGCCCAACCGCCCGTTGCCCAAATGAGAAACGGCTCCCGAAGCACAAAGGCTCTGTCCTTTGTGCTGCTGCTCTTTCCAAATTGCGTGACGAGCACTCACAATTTTAATGACGTCTCCTTTGCCTTGCGCTCTGTTGTGGACCGTCAGCGTGTCGCCGGGCCCCAACACCAGCTGCTGCAGGTCCAGCCTCAAGGGTCGGGAGTCATCCGGGTCCAGAGTCCAAACGCAGAGTAACGGGGGGCCCTGAGGAGACGGAGGAGAGAAAGTCCCGTAGAAGGTGCGGAGAAGTCCTCCGCAGGGCCAGCGGATGGGAGCGGGCGTCCCCGCGCTCTCCCTGGGGTGCTCGGTCTCCTGCCTCTCCTTCAACTGGGCCAACAGCTCATCTGTCCTGTCATCCTTGCGGCTTTGCACCGCAGGACTTAGATTCTCCGAATCCCCGGCGTCGTTGCTCTCGGCCGCTTCGCTGTCCCATGGCAGTCCGGGCGAGGTCTCCTCAGCGCCGCAGCCCTCCTCGTCCGCGCCGTCGCCTTGCCCGAGACATTCCACCTGCCCGTTGCAACGCCACGAGAGGGGCAGGCAGCGGCCTCCCGGGCATTCAAACGACGTCACGGGGCATTCGCCTGAGAACGGATCTGTCGGGACCACACAAAACTGTTTTGTAGCAGCAGGTGCATGTTGACTGAAAATTGGAAATATCTCATTGTCACCCTATTACATGTAGTATTTTGCATCAATGTCCTGTCATGACGACAAAAAAAAAACAAAAAAAAAACTTATTTATGCTTGAAGATGGCGCCTGTCATTTAAATTCATTGAAAATTTCAAATTTGGAATGTGCTCTAAAATAATTCCCCAAATGAACGTTGCGTTGAAATGTCACCGAATTTTTTCAGAAATTCAGCATACATGTTGAACCCCCTTTGCAACCCTTCCATTGAAGCCCCTCCACAATTGAACAAACCCACCTCTGGCGTAATTCAAGAGAAATGACGACACGGGATAGATATGTGGCAGGAAATGGTGCACCACTGTGATGTTTCCGCCCGGGAATTCGACAGGCAGCGGTAATTTGGAACCGCACAAAACTATTGGCGTGCCACCGGCGGATGATTTGATGGCCAGCCATTCCTTCCGGCACCGAGCTGAAAACTGGGTGAAGCTAAAAGAAGCAAGAGGTATGAAAAATAACACTTAAAAAAAAAACACATCAGCCAGACAATTCAAACACGATGTACAAAAATATGGGGATGACCATCTTTTTTATAATGATCCTTTTTTTGTGAGTAGCGTATTTCACCTGAGGATGACCGGCTCTCCCATCGAACCCTTAATGGTCCAGCAGTCATACGTGGGGCCGAAACGGTAGGAATAAGTGTGGTAAGCAGAACTCCTGATCTCTCCCACATCGCTGTCCAACACTTGAAGGGAATGTCCACAGTGGTCTGACGAGAGGGGAAAAAAATGAGACTTCACTTCAAAAACTGGGATTGAAAAACAGAACTGGGAAATTTCACATGGCAAACGTTCACGTAAACAGACACCAATAGAATTGTGATCTTAACCTCTATTAAAATGTCAATAATAACTTGCAATACCTTATTATGATTTTTCAGGACCAAAATGTGTGGGGGGAAAAAAAAAGCAATATTTTCTTTCACAATTTTTTTTTTTTGGGGGGGGGCTTGATTTGAGATATCCCACATTGGCTACAACTGATTTTCACATTGTTTTAAAGAAGAACACCAGCATTCGACATTGAGCGACAGTCCTTACCGAAACAAAGTGCCAGACGTGTCCAGCTGCTGCATGCTGTGGACAAGCAGAAACATGAGGTTGCCACTCTCAAATTAAACACTGTCAAATGACTTTCATTCATTTCCATCTACCCACCAGCGAAGCAAAAAAGCAGGAGACTGCGGATGTTCACCATTGTGGTGATAATGTACAAAGATAAAATTTTTAAAAGTCAGAGAAGTGGCATATTTGGAAGTTTGGCTCTGGAAGACGTCACCTGTAGCGTAAAAAAAAAGAACATTTTGTAAAATGACATGGTGTAAAACAGAGTACTGATTCCCAACACATTATCCAACTTCACCTCACTATTCCACAAAGTATTACTAAGAATAAATCCTCCTTCATCTATCTATGCCAGCAACATATATTGGAAGTATGTGACAACAGACTCTTAACCACCATTTTTCGTGAGGTCATTTTTGTGTGGTCACGTTTGTTTTGCGTTCCTCTCAGAAAAAAATAGCTCTGGCTTGTTAAAAATAATAAAATAAAATTTAAAATAATAAGAAAAAAATCTGATGTACAATGGAATCTCCTCTGTCGCTTGATTTTCGGTTTTAAATGTTCTTTAAGCGCTTTGTTACACCTGCAACTATTGTGGAAGCGCTATATAAACAAAGCTGTACTGTATTGATCATTTTCATCCAGCATTTCACACTGCTTCGCAGACACACGATCATAGGCCATTTCATGTCTACAATGGAGAATGTTGCCGACCTTTTTGCTCGCTGACTGAAGCCTTTCGGAACTTCCTAAATTCTTAACATGTTGACAACTTTTAAACCGCGTTTCATTCCGTTATTCCAGACCTTTCTTTACAATGACATTGGTCTTGCTGGGGAAAAGAATAATAATGAATTTTGTTGTCACGTCTCTCTACAATGTCAGGCAGAAAAAAAGTGGAGCAGTTTGTTTCAAAACTGATACTGTACTTTGAAACATTGCTTCATGTACATTTTTCGAGACGGAAATGTCCCCTCGGCTTGTGCATTTGAGGAGGGCACAAGGTTTTAAAACAAGCAAAATCTCGTATACGACTCGTCAACAAATTCCCACACTGTCCGACACGTGTACCAGAATTAGTGTGACCCGGGTTCGTTTCTATCTAAAGACAAGACGAGCTTTACTAGCCTTTAGCATCCGGTCGAGCTACATGCTAACGTCGCGCTTCCTTCCTGGACGGCTTTTGACCGACAAGTAACGTCGAACAATTTCAGAAATGAATGTGAACTGTCGAAAGAGTTGTCAAAATAGAATTAAATAACCAAAAGTGGGTAGAGCGTTACCTTCTCTTTCGGTTCTTGTTGATTAAGTTCAGAGCAACTTCCGTGTTTTTTTTTTAGCACGATGACGCATAAGGGGAGCGATTACAGTGTCACGTGGTTGTCTGTTTTTTTTTTAAAACTCCATAAGCAAGTTCCCTTTTATATCGATAGATGCCACTGTTGCTCAATTTAAATTGTCGGCGTTGCAGAAAAATGTGTACGAGGTCAGAAATTCCAACCACGAGACCGTCTGCCGTTGCACTGCGGCGCTGCCGGCCGTCGCTTGCGTTTTAGAGAGGAGTTGGACAACAGAAGAGAAGAAGAATATCAATTACCTTCGTTAAAATGGTCATAATAATTTAAACAAGTTTAATCAAACCTGATTGTTTCCCCTGCCAGTCTGACATCCGCTTACCTTCGGATGGACACAAAGGGGACCGAAACAGTTTGGAATACTGTACAGAGGTCACAAGTTGCAGTTTACAACTGTAAAATGGGATGTCATCAATGGAATGTAATTCATATATAACTAAAATTAAAATGCGGTCAACCAAGACATGTGTCGCTGGTATGATACAGCTCTGCATGCCACACAGATCCCCTGCTACATTAAAATAAAAGCATAGACCACCATGGTTTTGTTGCTGGGGCTCTGCCAGGAGGTGGCGATAACTGATGACCAGCTGGATTATTGTTGGTGCCATCATCTACCAGCAGGGCAACATGTGGGTCTTACTGGGTGGCTGTGGCTTAGTAGAGCAGGTTGCCCAGTGACCAAAGCTTTTTTTAAAATTTTGTTTTACTGACAGGATTTCCAGTGCAGTCACACTGGATCTGAAACGAACATGTAGTAGCATGTAGTAGTAGTTCCAAGTGAAGGTTCTCATCGAAAGAAATTGGTCTAGTCGCAGAGAATGTTTGGTCCAATTGAGGGTTGCACTTCAGAGATAAGGTTCTCATTCCAAATAAAGTTCTAGCTTTGGGAGAAAATTCTAGGCCCAAGAGCGTGTTCCAATCCCGAGAAAAGATTTTAGTCCAAAGGGAAGGTTGTTGTCCTAAGAGAAGTTTGGGAAGGTTTTGGTCCCACAAGAAGGTAGTAGTCCTAAATTCGATTCCTGAGAGTTCTTATCCCAAATGAACTTTTTGGTCTCAAGAGAATGTTCTGCCTTGAGAGAAGATTCTAGTTCCAAGAGAGGTTTGTTGTCCAGTCAGCCAATCCTCCATGAAGTGTCTCCAGTTGGTCCAGAATGCCGCTGCTTGCCTCTTGATTGGTACTCATAAGGGGGAAGCATGTCACTCCTACTCTGGCATCCCTTCACCGGCTCCCAATACATTTTGGAGTTTTTTTGAAGATCCTGTGATCTGTTTTCAAATCTTGAAATGGCCTGGCCCCACCTTATCTCTCTGAGCCCCTCTGTACCTGCCCCTCAGGTCCGCGGACCAGACACTTGTCGAGGTACTGAGAACGAAGCGGAGGCTCAGAGGGGATGGAGCCTTTTCCGTTTTCAGTCCCTCTCTTGGGAATGACCTTCCCTCTCGGCAAGCCCCCTCGCTGCCCGTCTTTAAAACTCATTCTTTGGCTTTTGACTCAGCATGAGACTTTATTTTTAGTTTGACTGTTTTTGTGTTTTCTATTGTATTTGTCATTCATTTGTTGTTTGTTGTTGTATGAAACATTTTTGCTCCATGTACAGCACTTTGTATACAGCAGTTGGCGTTTCCAACTGCTCTGGAAATACACTTGAGATGGGTCCAGCGAGAAAATTCTGGTCCCAAGAAAAGACTCTAGTCAGAGATAAAGTACTTATTCCAAATCAGGGTTCTTGTCCAAGATAACAGTCGAGAATCAAGTGACGGATTTAATCACAGAATAATAATCACAACCTTTGCTTAACCAGCAAATAAAAACACATTCATTTAAGATTTGTAAGAAGATTCATATGTATTTTATATTTGTAGATTTGGGGAGTAACCATTGTGTGTGTGTGTGTGTGTGTGTGTGTGTGTGTGTGTGTGTGCGTGTGTGTGTGTGTGTGTGTGTGAGAGAGAGATCGTGAAACTTTGCCACATCCATTATGGCGTTGACGTACGAGTCAGCCTTCGAGGAGGCACCATGTGTCTCTGTCTATGTTCGTCCCGGAGCAGGCAGGGAGAGAGGGAGTTAAAAAAACAAATACCCCAGCACATCTGGAGGAGGACCCAAAGGCTTACCCATCGCTCCGACCACGTCGTCACACGCTGCAAAACAATCCAAGGAAAGTGGCGGGGAGGGAGGCGGGGGATAAGTTTCGATACAACAGATGGGATGAGTTCATCGCTTTGTCTTGAGTTCTCACTTTAGATTCGACTCCGCCGCTCGCTCCAAGAATCGCGTGGGTAACTTTTTCTTGGATCATCCAAGGAAGATTGGGGGATTTGTGCAAATTGCTCATCCAACGACAGGGGTGGGGGAAGAAGAAAATGTTGCCGCTCGCGGTTGTCGCCCTGGCCTGCGCCATGCGCTGCTTTTCGGTCACCGCAGATGTGTTGAGAGCAGAGGTAAGTCACGGCCGCATTAGTAAGAATTGCACTTTTCGACACCATTGCGAGATTTAAAAAAAATGTAATCTCCCCCCCACCTCCAACTCCTAACCAACTGGGATTTTCCATCCACAAGAGCCATGCCGTTCTGCAACTGATGCTCCAGTGGATGGAAAAAACTGGTCCCCACGGAATGTCTTGTCATAAACTCGCGTACACTGACCTGCGATGTGACTCGCGGTGATATATTCTCTTCTTCAGACGTGTTTATCTGGGGTGGGTTTGCTTTGTTCAGAGAGAGACAAAAGGGGCAAGTTGTTGTTCTATTGATTTATTTTTCTCTCCAGGGGAGTGAGTTGAATGGCTCCCATCCGTCTGTGTAGACGGCGAGGCTGCATACGCCATACGTGAGTCCCCTGAGATGACTCTTTGACCTGCCAAGGAAAACGATCTGAAATAAGATGGCTCAATTTGACTCAGCTCACTTTGGTTCGGTTCAACATCCTGGTCGGAGACAGATATGGTCAAAAGACAATTAAGACTGTTGAGAAAGCGTTACTACAGCGAACAATGCAGCCACAATCCAGAGAGACAATATTATTGGTCATTTTAAAAAAAGTTTTCCCCCTCCCAGCAAGTTTAACAACGCTTAAATGTAAGACAATTAAGACTGTTGAGAAAGCGTTACTACAGTGAACAATGCAGCCACAATCCAGAGAGACAATATAATTGGTCATTTAAAAAAAATGTTTTACCCTTCCCAGCAAGTTTAACCACGCTTAAATGATCAATAAACGGCCGAAAGTGCATCGGCGACTGCAGCTCTTCACTCGAACCACTCGTTGAAGTCCGAGCTACAGTCGGTCTAATTATGGGTACATCATTCAGGGTGACTCTTTCTACCGTATTTTGAGAATCTTTTCCCAATTTTTATGGACCCACGGCACCGCCCTGCAAGGTTCACACATTGCTCACCACCAAAAGCGGCAATTTGATGATAGTTTGATGCGCTCGATATGTGCCAGCAGTTGAAAAAGCAACAAAACGGGAAGTGAATCACACTTTTTTTACTTGGCTGTGCAGGATGCGGGAGGGAAGGATCTCCTTAGTCACTGACCACAGACAGCAAAGACGTGGCGACTAAACCATGGCCGTCCAGAGTCCTACACAGAAAATAGCTCGGCGACAATGTTGCATCACCTGCGTGTGAAAGCATGTGATTTCGAAGAAAAAAAAAATGGGGACATGACGTCAGGGCGTGGACAAGGATAGATGGCGAAACCGCAGGAGCGTGATGAACCGAAAACAATCCTGTTGTTGCTCAACATTCTGAGAAACTATGAGACACACTTCCATATTTGAGGCCAGTTTTTTTTTTTTGGTAACCCACCCTTCAGATCAGTTTTCGGCGTGTGTATGGAGATACATTTGGGGTGTCACGAAAACCAACTTGAAGCGGAAAATCAATTTTGATTGGAAAGATGTCAATGGATCGTTTTGAAACGTCCCCTGAATTGTACCACACGCCATGCACCGAGATACGAATTTGATTGGCGGGGACGTCTGCGCCATTGCGACGCCATTTGGCGAATGGTCCCCGGTTCCCGTTTGACTAAGACACTCAGAAGAAACTCACCGCTTCGTCTTGTTTTTGCTGTGTGTGTTGTTTCGGAGGTTGGAAAAAAAAATCATGAGTCTGCTTGGACTAAGTAAGGAGCGGAGAAATAAAGAGGAGTAAAAAAATAATAATAAATCATATTGCGGTAAGAGTATTTGCACTTGGTGACGTCTCACCAGTGCTGTTTGTCTACTAAAAGTGCTTCGCTGGAGCCTGTGAGTGAAAGAAGTGGGTAGCAGTGAAAACAAAAGGGGTCCGAAAAGTGATGATGCCAGCGCTTCAGAGCCATCTGGCTTCAATTGGCTTCATCTTGACCTAATGTGAGCATCAAAGACATGAACCGAAAACAATCCTGTTGTTGCTCAACATTCTGAGAAACTATGAGACACACTTCCATATTTGAGGCCAGTTTTTTTTTTTTTTTGGTAACCCCCCTTCAGATCAGTTTTCGGCGCATGTATGGAGATACATCCGGGGTGTCACGAAAAACAACTTGAATCGGAAAATCAATTTTGATTGGAAAGATGTCAATGGATCGTTTTGAAACGTCCCCTGAATTGTACCACACGCCATGCACCAAGATGCGAATTTGATTGGCAGGGGACGTCTGCGCCATTGCGACGCCATTCGGCTAATGGTCCCCGGTTCCCGTTTGACTAAGACACTAAGAAGAAACTCACCGTGTGTTGTTTCGGAGGTTGGAAAAAAAAATCATGAGTCTGCTTGGACTAAGTAAGGAGCGGAGAAATAAAGAGGAGTAAAAAAATAATAATAAATCATATTGCGGTAAGAGTGTTTGTACTTGGTGACGTCTCACCAGTGCTGTTGGTCTACTAAAAGTGCTTCGCTGGAGCCTGTGAGCAAAAGAAGTGGGTAGCAGTGAAAACAAAAGGGGTCCGAAAAGTGATGATGCCAGCGCTTCAGAGCCATCTGGCTTCAATTGGCTTCATCTTGACCTAATGTGAGCATCAAAGACGCCGACTGGACGAACTGTCAAGGACAAGCCAGGAACTCAAATAACCGAGCCCCAAAGCAACCACTCAATGGATCGTTTTGAAACGTCCCCTGAATTGTACCACACGCCATGCACCAAGATGCGAATTTGATTGGCAGGGGACGTCTGCGCCATTGCGACGCCATTCGGCTAATGGTCCCCGGTTCCCGTTTGACTAAGACACTAAGAAGAAACTCACCGTGTGTTGTTTCGGAGGTTGGAAAAAAAAATCATGAGTCTGCTTGGACTAAGTAAGGAGCGGAGAAATAAAGAGGAGTAAAAAAATAATAATAAATCATATTGCGGTAAGAGTGTTTGTACTTGGTGACGTCTCACCAGTGCTGTTGGTCTACTAAAAGTGCTTCGCTGGAGCCTGTGAGCAAAAGAAGTGGGTAGCAGTGAAAACAAAAGGGGTCCGAAAAGTGATGATGCCAGCGCTTCAGAGCCATCTGGCTTCAATTGGCTTCATCTTGACCTAATGTGAGCATCAAAGACGCCGACTGGACGAACTGTCAAGGACAAACCAGGAACTCAAACAACCGAACCCCAAAGCAACCACGAGGTTTGTTTGAGACGTCGTTTGAGTTGGGCCGCATTCGGCAGCTCTGGTGTGAAACTGGGTCGCTGAGGCAAAGAAATTCAAGTAATGTGAGATTCCGGGGACACGTGATTGGATTTTTTTTTTTTTCCGCTGGCACAGACAAAGGAACAACTGACTTGGTCTCAAAGTAAAATTCAGCGATACTTGCAAACTCCCTCTCCAGTCCCGTATACTTTCCTACCGCCGCCGAGTCGAATATCTTGACCTTGCCTCATGTAAGCGGACACCGCGGTTTTCTCCTTAACCCCTCGTTCGCCGAAAGACTTCGGAGAATTCCAGTGATCTGATTCCAATGCGAGGAGTCACATGGCAAGGTCAGAGCGAGTTAATGGCAAGCCACAAGTGCGCGCTTTTGACTTCACGAGCAAAACTATTTAGCACACTCGTTGAATGACTGGCTTCCAATAATAATGTACAGTCATTCCCATGACTGTCTTCCACTACTCTGTGACAATTCTGCACACTAGTAGAACTATACGTGTTACTTGTGAATCAAATCTGCGCATTAGTTGACATCCGAGTACTCGTAGGTACTGCGAGTGAGCAGGGGGAGGGTGGTCATCAGGAATTTGGAGAAAATGTGAGCATTTTTCCCCAAATGGCCGCAGTACTTCCTGCACACTAGTAGAACTATACGTGTTACTTGTGAATCAAATATGCGCATTAGTTGACATCCGAGTACTCGTAGGTACTGCGAGTGAGCAGGCGCAGGGTGGCCATCAGGAATTTGGGGAAAATGTAAGCATTTTCCCAAATGGCCGCAGTACTTCTGGGTGGTATCCAGGTCACCGTCTACTTTTCAAAGCACGATGGCCGCACCTCCATAACCATAACGTCCCCAAATTATTTTGGGGCAGTGGCAACCACCATCGACGACGATTCCCAGCACGTCCCTGCTAGTGAGGCACTTCATCTTCACGAGCATATTCTTGTAATTATACTTACTAGTGAACAGTAATGTCGTATAGGAGTACAAAAAAAATCTAAGTCAGGGCGCCCTTGTTGTTCTCCAAGTGGCCACTAGAGGCCACTACCCTGAAAGCAGTTATCGAATAAAAAGCCTTTCCAAACTTTCATGAGTGGAAGACAGCACTGGAATAAACGTCACTGCTGGTGCATTGTCGTTCTATTGGGGTGCCAAATTGTTCTCCAAGTGTGGGCAGAGAGCATTCTGGTATGCGGACAATTCAGCGTAGAAGGCCATACCGAAAAAGATGCTCAAGCGGCTTGCCGTAGTAGTTCTCCAAAAGATTCTCCCACCACTTGCCATGACATGACTCATGTTTTAGTGTGAATTTGCGTCGGCAGACACACTGCACGCTCTCAGGTGTGTGTTTACCCAAAGCGGCAGTGGCCAGCCCACCGGCCACACGCGGCCAACAATAGCAGCCATGTTCAAGTCTCGATAAATAGAAGCTTTGATGGCGCCTGCTCCATTGGCCTCGTTTTTTTTTTTTTTTTTCTTGAAAGAAGGAAACAGTGGCAGCAGTCAGGAAGTGATGAGGATGACTCCAATAATACGTTTAAGTAATCCGAAGCAGCACCCCCCTTATTTATTTATTTATTTATTTTGCGCCATGGACCAGTTTCACGTGAAGCAATATTTTGATGGACCAAGAAGAGACAAATACAATGACCCCCGCAACCGAAACATTTTCCAAATAAAACCTCTTTCAGACTTTGACGATCAATCAAATATGTTTGGAGCGCCGATCCGGGGGGACGATGGCGCCGATTATGAGGAGAATGTGCAGGCAAGGAGAGGAGTTGCCACTGTGTGTGGACATAAGTGAACCTTGTTCCCTGGCCACCGCGCTGCCACATCACCAACAGGTAGCCACGTGTGTCCCAGCGCACTCCATTCCTCCCTCTTCCAAGTCACATGCTGTTGCAGACTTGAGAAAACCAGCGTGAGAGGAGAGAGGGTTGGAGATTTTGCTCGACTCCCTTTTGGGCTTGGCAGAGACCAGAGGTGGCGAAAGTAGACTGACTGGCTACTTAAGTGGAAGGACAGATACTTGTGTCCAAAAAAAAAAAAATAATTCAACCCTGACTGTGGTTAAAGTAGAGGTTCTGATTCAACTCCTGTGCTGAAGTGAAAGTGAACCCTTTCAGGGACAGCGGCTACTACAGTGGACAGCTTATAAGGTTACAGGGTGCATGAAAGGGTTAAAAAAAAAAAAACAGTCTGAAATGGACATTAGAACAGCAAAATTTTTTTTTTACAGCAGGTAAGGTGTCATGACTCAAGACTGAGCATCATCTTGCCTTACAGAGGTTACGGCAAAATGTCCCCGAGATACTCCTCTAAAAAGAGCCCCGGTAGTGGAAAAAGGGTGCGCCTCTCATGCGTAGGAATAAGCAGCGGATCTGTTTGACCTACTAACAGTGAGATGATGGCCTCCATTACTTTTCCGACATTGTGAGTTGTCTTTGGCTGCGGGAGTCCAGACAGACGTGTGGCTTCGCAGTGACCAAGGTTTTACTCAGAGGATGATGTTTGGACTTGGGCACCGAGTTAAACTCTTAACGTTCGGCACCCGGGCATGAAATGAGACTGTTGCGTTGCTCCGTGAGGCCCGTCCGAGTGTGCCGCGCAGGTCCGAACAAGCATCGGAAGCTAACTGTCAGCAGACACACAATACGCATGCATACCCGGCCGCCCCCTGCAGATCCGCACAAGAGAAACCTTGTCCAAATTCCTCTTTAATCGTGCGGAGAAATCTAAGCGGGTGTTTAAAAAGGACTCCGTCTCAGCAAACGAAAAATAGAGGCACCTTGTACAAGTTTCATTCATACGGTCATCTTACCGCGCCGCGCAACAAAACCAGTTCACTTCTTGATGTTATCTTTGATTATGGTATTGCTTGTTCATATGCGCCGCGCGGTTGTTCGGCAATCCAATCCAAGGGGTGGGATGGGCTCCAGCTGGAATACTTCGCTAACTTAGATAAAACCCCGAAATAGGTTTCATGGTTTGCCCTCTGCTTCTGACTTTTATTTGAAGGCGTGGCTTCAGCAATATGGCTACCTGCCGCCCGGTGACGTCAGAGTGCAGGCCATGCGTTCGCCGCAGTCCATCGAGACGGCCATCGCGGCCATGCAGAGGTTCTACGGCTTGACGGTCACCGGCTCGATGGACACCAACACGTTAGCGTGAGTCTTGAGGAAGAAATCCAGAAGAATGTCCTCGCAATTCAAAGACATGAGAAGTTTGTTTTGACCCATCGACAGGGCGATGAACCGTCCACGATGCGGAGTTCCAGACAAATTCGGGCCGGAGCTCAAAAGCAACCTGCGGAGGAAACGATACGCCGTGCAGGGACTGAAGTGGGACAAGTCCGAGGTGACTTTCAGGTCAGGATTATACGCCGCAATTCTCTGTTGTCCGTGTGCGGATCAAGTCTAAATGACTCGCTCTCGCCCTAGCATAGAGAATTACACCCCCAAAGTGGGCGAGCGCGCTACCTACGAGGCCATTCGGAAGGCCTTCAAAGTGTGGGAGAGCGCCATCCCGCTCACTTTCAGGGAGATCCCCTATAGCCACATCCGGGGCAAGGTGGAAAAGTATGCCGACATCATGCTCTCCTTCTCGGAGGGCTTCCACGGCGACAGCACGCCGTTTGATGGCGAGGGCGGATTCCTGGCTCACGCCTACTTCCCCGGTCAGGGGATTGGCGGAGACACGCACTTTGATCTCGCCGAGCCCTGGACAACTGGCAACGTGGACCAGGGTGGTAAGCTAAAGACTCTTTCGACTCTAAAGTTCTCCTCTTCGATTTGTTTCCCTCCGAAATGAAACCACACACACTGCGTTACTTTCCACCAAGGGAATGATGTTTTCCTGGTCGCCGTCCACGAACTGGGTCACGCTCTGGGTCTGGAGCACTCCAACAACCCCTCGGCCATCATGGCTCCCTTCTATCAGTGGATGGACACGGACAATTTCTATCTTCCGGATGACGACCGCAGAGGCATCCAAACCATCTACGGTACAGAGTCGTCCAAAGATACGGGCCGTGAAAACGTTTGCGTAGCAAATGGATAGGACTTATGCCAATTGGGCACAATCCCCCCCCTGCAGGCACCAAGACAGGCGGTCCTCCACCTCCGCCGAGACCTACTAAGTCCTCGAGTCCCAAGAGACCGGAACACGGCCCAGACATCTGCGAGGGACACTTTGACACCATCGCCATTCTCAGAGGAGAAAAGTTTGTCTTTAAGGTATTGTCACTATTCAAACGTCACTTTCAAGCTAATCTAAGTGACCGCGTTCAATGACTATCGACGAACCTTACAGGACAACTGGTTTTGGCGCGTGCGCAACAACAAGGTGCTTCCGGGCTACCCCATGACCATCAGTCATTTCTGGAAGGGCCTGCCTTCCAACATCAACGCCGCGTACGAGCGGGACGATGGGAAATTCATCTTCTTCAAGGGTAAGCTCCACGCGACATTGATCTGGGAATTTCAATTTAGGTTGACGCTGAGCTTCAGACTTTCTAAAAAGCCTGCTATCGCACGGAAGCGTTATGTCTCAAAAGCATTTAAAAAGATTTCTGAGTGCCAGGTACGACCCCTTGAAACAAAGACCATGGGATGAATTATGTATCTATCGTCATTTCTAGCGAAGTTGCACTCCATTTGCAGACGCAGATCTCCACGTTGTGCGTGAGAATGATATTCAACGCACAGATGAGCATTTTGTGCGCGCTTTTATACCGATGTTGTGGCCACGGGTCAGTATTTTGTGGTCAGAAATGAGTATTTTGTGCCTCTGCTATACAGTGGTACCTTGACTTCGAAGTGTAACGGCCCACAATGTTTCGTGGCTGTTCAATTGTTTGTCAATCTGCGTACGGGAGCTCTCCCCTCCTGCTCCTTCCCGATTGGTGGCAGTTGGGGCTTGTGAACGTGAACTCCATTTTTGTGGTGGAGTGACGTGCGCGCGTGTAGAGAAAGCCAAACCTTGATGGCGCACCGCTTCTTACTCCCATCCAACTCTGGCATCCATGTTGGACCCTAACAACAAGCCAAACGACTCAACAGGTGACAGGTACTGGGTCTTCAGCGAGTCCACAATGGAGAAGGATTCCCCCAAGAGCCTGAAAGACATCGGGACCGGTCTCCCCAAAGACAAAATGGACGCAGCTCTCTTCTATACCCCTACGGGACAGACGTACTTCTTCCGAGGCACAAAGTGAGTTTGCCCATTGTCCGTCCCAGCCACGCTACACGTAAATCTCTTGAGACTTTCTTCCTTGGCACCTATTCTGACTTTCCGTTCACCGTACTCACACGGCTGTGGCCCGCGTAGGTACTACCGCTTCAACGAGAGGACTCGCACGGTGGACAGCGGCTATCCGAAGCCTATCAGCATGTGGAGCGGCGCGCCGGACAACATCAAGGCCGCCATTATGAGCGAGGACGGCTGTAAGTATGGCACGGTACAAGTCGAACCGGAGTGCTTCTCCTGAGCAAGCGAGTGACCGAGCCGCCTTTCCCCTCAGCGTACACGTACTTCTACAAAGCCAACAAGTACTGGAAGTTCAACAACCAGTACATGAAGGTGGAGTCGGGCTACCCGAAGTCTGTGCTGAGCGACTGGATGGGCTGCGAGGGCGAGGAGCCCAAGAAGGGCCGCGAAGAGGAGGTGATCATTCTGGAGGTGGACGAGGCGCAGGGCGGCGTCGGGGCGGTCGCTGTGGTGATCCCGCTCCTCCTCTTGGTTCTGGTGGTTGCCACGCTCGGGGCACTGTTGTTCTTCCGGAAATACGGCACGCCTCGCCGCCTCCTCTACTGCCAGAGATCACTTCTGGACAAGGTCTAGGCACCGTTGACTAATGGACAACCACAAAGGGAGCCAAACATCAGCGAGGGAGGGCCAGATGAAGACGAAAACTGGGAGACAGAACGGCAAAAGCACTGAGAAGATGGTCGGGATGTCCAAATATTTGGGGGGTTTCCACAGTATGTGCTCCATCGAAACCCAAACCTGTTGTGTTTGTATGGTAACTATTTACATGTACTGTGTCACAGATTAAGAAGATGACTACAACCTTGACTCCAGAAGGGATATGCCCCCCCCCCCCAAAAAAAAGACAGTGACTTCCCAGTTTCCTTGCTCATATTCCAGGTTTATCCTCTTTTAAAGACACTTCTCTCCAAAAGTTCGGGATTTTGAGTTTGCGGCTGCTGTTCCTGGATGAACCTAAAACGCTCCAGATCCTTTAAAAGTGAACTTGTTTTGACTCCACTCTGGGAACGCACGGGTGAGGCTTCAAGCAGGACGTTCTAGGAGGGAAGTCGCCACTGAGCTTGAAGTGTAATCAGCAGGTTAGAACAGAACGGGAAATTGGGAGGAATCACAGAAAGGCAAAAAAAAAAAACGAATGTCCTTGGTTTAGTTTGGGTTCATTCAGGAATCAGACGCCTGAAGGGAACTTTGCCATTCGGCTGCTTGATAAAGAATGGGCAAATTGGAGAAAAAGGACTGAAATAGTTGGGAGAGGTTTCAAGAAGGTCCAACTGAATTAACCTGGAAAGGTTCTGGCATGTTTTCAGTTCATCCGAAGATCTGATCGGAAAGCCCAAAATCCCAAACTTTTTTGGGAGCCATGTATGCTTAACTGGACGACTCCGGCTGAACTGCTGTTTGATTGCGAGGCATGAAATCCATTTCCTGTCGCCAAACGTACGTTGCATTTAGGATCCAAATGCCCAAAATGACAGGGATGCAATTTTTCTACATACATGTTTTTGTTGTTGTGTATCCATATTGTGTCCACAGATGTAAATGTGGCACAAGCAGAGATTGCATAAATAGTCCATGTGGTACAGAATTTTCTTGTGTTTGTATCTGAACAGCTACGGGCAGAAAAGGGGATCGGCAGAGATCCCAACAATATGGTGCAATTTTTTTTTTGTTGTTAATTATTGTTGCATTTGTGTTCTTTTTTTATAAGTACGGTTCTAGTTATTGGTGTTGGCTAGTTTTGTTTTTTCTTTTTCCTCTTTTGCTTCTGTACATTGTCAAGAGTTCTGCTGGACAGAGGCACAGCACGACAATGATCAAACGAGTAATCCCAGTTTACAGGGCGTGGAGGGGAATCCAATCAAATCAGGTGATTATTTCTTGAACCATTTACCGGACATTAGCTCGATTATCGATGCTACTCATGAACACATGGTGCAGAGTTTCTTAAAACAAACCAAAAAAATGTTCTCACGACGATAATTATATTTATAATGATGAGCGTATCAATAAAAGTGAATGAGATTGTTTTGTGCCTTTTTATTGCCAAGCAACTTCTCTCCCTGCCCAGGGAAATACTGATGAGGTGTTTTTTTTTTTTTTTGTGCTGACACACTGTCTCAGTCTGGCCCCTCCGTGCCTCGGCAGGAAGTGGCTGCTTGCAGTTTAACCTGGATTCTTTTTTGTCCGGGTGACCTACATAGTGGCACCTCAACAACTACATTTTCCAACTCAGGAAACCATCTGCGAAAAAGTAATAATGACGCAGCACCCTCTTTTTGGTTCACTGCTTAAATAACAACACACAGTGCATCTGGAAAGTATTCACGGTGCTCTCGTCTTATTCCAAAATTGATTCATTTTTACCCCCTAATGACAACAAAGGAAAGTAGAAAGGTGCTCCAAACTTGGGACACTTGAAGGGTTGAGTCCTTTGTACATGTACATTTCATTAATTAAATTAAAAAAAAAAAAAAAAAAAAGAACTTCATGTCTTCATAATGGGGAGTTGTGTCCCGATCTTTGGGAGGAAATTATTTTTGAAAAGTCACAACTTCATATGGACACATCGTCATCAACTTCCCGTCTTGTCAGCTGATCTCCCCTCACCCAAACATACCACGGCCCCTCCCCCTTCCTCACAATGACCAACATCTGCTTCTCATTTCCTCAAAAGCAAAACAAGGCAAGGGGGGAAGAATGAGTCGGGGGTGGGAGGGTATGAGCAATTGAGGCCTCACACGGACCACTCGGGACATTCTGGCAATAACTCGTCCTCTAGGTCAGCAAAAGTATCATTTATGGAGGGCTTACCTCTTTGGGTAAACATTGTTTGCAAGTCACACCCCACACTGCTGACTCCACTTTGAAGCACTAGCTGAAAAAACGGCATTGACACCTTAAGAACCGCAAAATCGGATAGAAGAAACACTTATCTCACCGGGGTGTTTCGGGAACCAAGACATATTATTTACGATGTAATAAGTCACTAGGGTAGTCAAATTGGTTGATGAAAAACTTATGTAAAGCTCTTTATTCTCCTATTTTTTTAATCACTTACATTTTTATTTGACTATTTTTTAAATTATTTACAATAAACCACTCTGGTTATTTAAAAATCACCATACTGTGTATTTTAAATTTCCCAATTAAGTAACAATGTTCAATGTGCGTATTTTCAAAACGTTATTTCCAATAAATAGAGCAATTATGAAAGAAAAACATCTTTTAACATCCAGGTGTTTACTTTTTAAAAGCTATTTACACTCACCATCTCAATGAATTCTTTCATTAAAAAATATACATTATTTTGTTGACAGTAAATAATTTAACAAGATACACTGACACTAAAAATATATACATTAATTAAATTTTAGTTAGTTAAAAAAAATTAATACAATTATTGACTGAATTAATAGAAACGCTTGGTGGGCCAGATTAAAGAAGAGAGTGGGCCGTATATGGCCCCCGGACCATACTGTGTCCACCCCTGCACAGAGGCTGAAAGCGGGCTCCTCCCTTTGCAGAGTGCACAAAATGGCGCTTGAGCCTTCAAATTGCCGCCCCCTTTATGGAGAAATGCTGCCCTCCAGTGGAAGCTGGAAAAACTTCACCAGCAGAAAATACCCAAGGATGGCCCCAAATCAGTCGACATCATTTATTGTATGAAAATGCCACACGGAACTTGACGTTTCACAATGACAAAATAGGGAAGGGGATTTATTTACCAGGCTGTTTCTAACTGTCAGGCTCCTTCTTTTTCCTGAATAGCTTCCCTTTTGGTTTGAGCAGCAGAGACTTTTGGTGCTCCTCGATTCTTCGAGCTTCTTCCTGCCTTTGTCGCCACGACTCAATGCCTCTGTCGATCTCTGAGTCGAGCATAACGATGCGCCTCTGCGGAAGATACATTTAAAAAAGTCCAACGTAAGAAAGAAATGAATTCATGGCAACAGTTTTTTTTTGGGGTAGCTTTTGATGCTACCATAAATACTATTGTTGGCACTCTCATTCACTTGCACCCATGTCACTCACCTGATCAAATACTCAAAAGATATGACAGTGTGAAATGTCCAGTTTGTGGAAACTAGCAATACCCGCGCATCTCACATGCACATTGTTGTTGAACGCAAAATATGTCTTTTAATCAGGAGAATAACAATACTCACTGCCAATTCTTCCCTCTCCCGCCTTCTTCTCAAAAAGCCCTTCATTGGTGGTGCTGGCCTGCCATCTGCAAAACAGTGAAAGCAGAATTGGAACCCAGTAGATCCTTCATTAGATACACGGAGCCTGAAGGGGATATATTATCTTTGTGTCGGTGAATGCGTACCTGCGAAAGACCAATCGGGGAGATCTGTTAGGGGTCCATATTCGCTGCCACTGCGTGCAAGTCCATGCCTAAACAACAAACATAAAAGAGTCAGGTGGCCGGTGATTAACGTGAAACTACACACATGTGTACATATTATATGAGTATCTGTACTTTTCTGCTCAGGTAGAAATACTGTATCGCAATTCCATAAGTTCGCCAATAGGCGGAGGTTCACTGTTTTAGCCTTGAGTTTGACACCTGAGTAACATTTTAGTGCTACGTACTCTTTCCTCCACTTTTCTCCCCCTTGAGCTCCCCGCGTCGTGCTCAACCGCCGGCAGGAGTGTCTGAACGCTGCAACACAAAAGCAACAACAAAAAACAGTGAGCAACACATGATAAAAGTCGGGTGAATTTACGCTTGACATTGTTTTAGCTGTTAGCCATGCTAAGACGACGTCAGCGTTCTGTTTACGGAGGATAAAAAAGAGAAGCAAAAACACTACCCCAACATTAAAACGAAAAGCGACTCGAACAGCGAGGCCATTTCAACACGAGTTAAAAATATCATGTCTCACCGGAGAAAAGGAACATCCTTACGGGGGACGCCATGTTGCCCGCACTTACACTAAACGACGGCAAGATGGAGCCAAAAAAACGTCAATGTAGCTGCAAATATACCGAACGGCCGCTAGATGATGCCAAAATCGCCCATTTGGTTTTCTCTGCGTGGTTTCTAACCTTCGTCACCTTTTGATTGATCTACATTTCTCCACCAATTTAAGCCATTATAGTTCAACGTGTATCCGCTATTTCAGCACACCTGGGCAATTATATTTTTACACCCAACCCGTTCCACATTTTCAGTCATACAAAACCCATCATGCAATACATTTTCACCTTAATCCTTCCACATTTTTTAAATACGTTTTTTATGTCTTGAATTTGTATTAAAAAAAAAATTCACTCATGAAGGGTTCGGTGAATGTGCATATGAACTGGTTGGGTTCGGTCCCTCTAACAAGGTTAAGAACCACTGGTCTAATGTCTACGTGAAGCCAATAGGTAGGTTATAACAGTTTTAACGTGGTGTACACGTGCTACCCGGTGTTCCGTTTCTGTATTTGCTACGCTCCAAACTATTGTTTGGAATGGCTGCGGCACGAAAGCCCAGAAGAATTCCTCTGTTAGCTTTTCAGACAAGTTGCCACTCGCAGGCCCAGCGAGGCGAGCGGGGAGAGTGTGATCTGGAAGGCCGACGGCGGCGGGGGGGACTCCGGGGTGAAGGGCTCCATCTCTCCCCGGAGGCCGCCTCACTCCGACCGTGCACCTCCGCGCATTCCACAGGCTGCTGGTACAATCAAATAGTGCCACCCAAAGAAAGCACCACCTTATTCTTATGATCATTTTTTTCGGGTTAAGTAAAGTCGGAAAGCGGTGTGTGATACAACAATACGAAATTAGAACTCGTATGAAATCGCATGAGTTTTTCCGGTTAGCAACGGGGGGGGGGGGCGAAGAAGGGGGTAACAAGCGCCGCCGTTGACTGATAAAAGAAACCAGGGAAGAGTCAAACAACACAGTGACGGAACGACCGGGTCGGTGCTTGGCTTTCAAAATAAAAGAAAAAGGTCCACTACCTGTTTGTATTTAACACAACGAAAGAGACTCCGATTTAGATTGAAAATCACTAACCGGAATGAGCTAACACTTTCATAGCTTACTTGACTGCTATAAAAAAAGAGGGGGAGGTAAATCATTATTTAAGGGAAGAAAGAAAGAAAGAAAGAAACTTGTCCACCGTGCAATGCACTCTGGGAGGGATTTCATTTATACCGAGAAGGTCTTTTGAGACGGAAACGAGTCGGTAGAACAGAGTTGCCCTTGTCTTTCTGAACTTCTCCACAACCGGACGGGGTCGAGCACCGCATACGTTTTCTTGTGGACTACGAGCGAGTTTTTGTTGTTGTTTTTATTTCCCGAGATGAATGGCAGGAGACGGGTGAGTCGTGCACAGGCGGATCTGTTGTCTTGAGTATCATTTTTTTTGCAGCCAATGAAAGAAGTCAAACTTCCCCATCACACTGAGCCAAAAGTAGAACTTAGCAAAACTTGGGGACGATGCAGATGTGGAGCCACGCGAGGGGCCACAAAGGAGGCCCTCCACCGCTAGAAGCGTCCTGGATGTGTGCTGGCACTGACTAGTCCAATGGGGCGCCTGTAGGTTGTCCGCCTGATGGCAAAATAGTAAGGATTAAGTCATGTCTTGAGTCCTCCCACTGACCCCTCTGGTCTTATTTATCTAGCTATTTATTTTCTGCAGTATATCAGTTGTCATTTTTGAGCTGCATCTGACGGTGTAGGAACAGTCAGGAAAGCGTTTTACGTCATGGATCGGCCAATAAGTAAGTTGTTGGAGAAGCTGAAGCTCACAGATTCAGGCAGCGTCAAGTTCAACAGCTCCAAGAAAAAAACAGACGTGGTCGGGAACGCCAACAACAGCAATGGGAACAGCAGCACCGGCGGCGGTCCCGGTTTGGCAATGCCCCCCTCACAGCTTCCGCAGCCGTCGTCTGTACAGCCGGATGGAGAACAAGCGCCTCACGCTTCCACCTTGGCCCCGCTGAGGCGTCGCTCCCCCCAGCAAAGGGCCTCGTGTTACCTGGGCGAAGGCCTGGATTCCCACCTGCGGCGAGAGTCTGGCCCAGGCCCCGAATGTGAGGCTCCGGGTCACAAGGCGTCCCTGAACCAGCGCCGCTACTCCCTGGAGCTCCAGCAGCTGGTCCGAAGGCAGCAGCTCCTCTCCCAACCGCCGCCGCCTCCATACCCCACCGCTGTCGGTTACGGGTCAGCTCCCAGAGGCACGGCCGAGACGGGCTACCTTTCGGAACCGGAGAGACACAAGCGGCTTTCCCTCCAGGAGGCTTTGTTCTACAAACGCCTGAGCACAGGGAGCGAACTGTGGGAGAGCCCGAGACCCGCATCCTTGTCTCATCCACCGCACCGTCTGGCCGACGGTTTCTTCTACCCCCCGGGGCCCGCCCTGAGCCCGTGTTCGTCCTTCAGCCTCCAGGAGTCTGTGCTGGTCAGCCCTCGGTCCAGTTTCGCCTCGAGCACGGCCAGCGGGGGAGGAGGAGGCGGAGGGGGTGGCAGCCCCATGGGGAGCCGCTGCAGCAGCAACCGAACCAGCGGAATCAGCCTGGGCTACGACTCCCGGTATTCCATCCCGCCGCAACAGCAGTCTCCGTCTTTGCAGACGGGACCCATGTATGGGAGGACCCCCGCCGAGGCCTGGACTCAATACCTCGGCGGCGGGATGCGTCAAGGCGCCTACGACAGCCGGCACTCGTACCCGCCGGCGGTGGGAAGTCCTGCCGCGGCATGCTACCAGGCGGGCCCCGAGTGGTGGGACGAGCAAAAGTCGGGAGCGAGGGGCAAAGAAGGGGGTGTCGCGCTCGGCGAGAAGAGCCGCCACTCTGACTTGCCCGGGATGCGCTACCAAGAAGAGCTGACCCGGCTTCTCCTGAGAGACGCGGCACTTGAAGGCAGTGGTCTCTTGGAGGGCCTCATGCTAAAAGAACAGTCCTTGGCGCTGACGGCTATGACCAAACCCGGCGCGGCGCTGGGATCGTCGTCGGCCACCAAGGCTCAGGAGGATCTCGGGGCTCCCGCCGGACGAGACGCTGCCGAGAACCGTCAGGAATTCTTTGGTAAGACAACTTCACTTTTCACATGGCTCAGATTGTCCCAACACCTTTGGCCAGATTCTGATTTTGTCCAATCACAGTATCAGCATCACTCGTGGAGTACTACCGAGTGCCGATACCTCGATTACTTGTGATATATGAAATTTCATCAGCAGACGATGATTCGCCGATGTGTCAAACCGCCGCAGTCTATATAGTGGCACCGACTGCCGAGGAGGACTTTCTTGATGTCAGATTTTTTTTAGATCGAACTTTTTTTGCCTTTAGCATCGGTGGCTGGTGCCAACAGTCGATACGTTAAAGTAAAGCCGGTATCAGACCGATAGCGATTCTTCATGTCGGTCCTTGCCCGTCCCCACGGAGTAGACTGACAGGAGATAAAGAAAAACAGGATGAAGGCATTCAGACCACAGAACCACGGGCACAACAACTGCTCTCTCAACAACATTAATGGTCCCTTATGTGCTCCTGACACCATCGTACCCGGCGCGAAGGGCATAGCACTCGAGGTCACACAATGCCCGGATTTCTGGTGAAGTTCATTATTTTTTTTTTTCCCCGTCACATTTCTGTCTCGACCGCATCGAACCTGCTGAGACACGCGGACGTGTTTTAAAAACCGATCCGGACAAGTTGGAGACGGGCCCTTTGATTGTCAGTATGACGGACTTCTCGTTGAAGCGATATCGTAAAACCATTTTTCGGTTTGCTTGCTGCTACCTGACGCTGGGCATCTACTGTATAAAATAACACTCTCGGAGAAAATTGCACGGTTGGGATATGAGCGCCAGCCGCTAGCGTGAGTCACACAAGGCGGCGTAGGGCCCAGTGTGTGTTGTGTTGGTGTGCGTTACGGTGGCTGGATGTATGTGTGTATGTGTGTGCCGTTTTTTTTTTTTTTTTGTGGCAGGGTGTGTTTTCCCCTGGTGACTTCAGGCCACAGTAATGCTTCACTGTGTGTGTGTGTGTGTGTGTGTGTGTGTGTGTGTGTGTGTGTTGGGGCGGTGTGCTGCTGCCTGTTTTTCTGCTCAGGTATGCGTTCCCTCAGGGGACGCACACCGGCAAAGCGCTTTGCCTATTGGGAAAGAAATATGAGCTTTGCATTTCGTCATCTCGCCAGGAAGTGTATGCATCCCTTTTTTTTTTTTTCTTTTTTAAACACTCCCTCAACCATAGTTTGGGCTGTGCTTCCGGAAATAGAAGTGAGTAGCGGGCCGCAGCACACACTTGCTGGCAAGCTCAAGCCCCACTGTGCCACACTCGCTGGTGAGATTCAGACTGTTTTTTTTTTAAATGTATTTATTTTTAAACATACGCTTGCCAGAGAGAGTCACCCTGCTGGGCGGCGTGGAAAAGACGGCCAAAGACCTGCCGCATTGTACACCTTCACCAGTGAGATCTAGGCCGCACTGTGAAACACGGATTTGCCAGTAATTGTATGCGTTAGAGTAGACTGGAGTTCTCTAGCGCGTGTGCTGGCTGGATTTCACTGGCGGGTGTGCTCAAGTGGGGGTGCACGCGTTCCAGCCGGCAAGTGGATGCATTACATGCGAGAGATTTTGCTGGTGTTTAAAGTGAAGACTGAATTTCACTGGGAAGCGTACGTTAGAGATGCTGTTTGGACACATTACTCAGCAGGCTGTCTCTCGTCAGCTCGCCGGCAAGGGTATGCATAACGGCTTCTCTGGCGCTTGCACGCGTCCCGCAGGCAAGGCTCGATCGACCTGGCAAGTGTGGGCATTCCCGTTGGTGTTTGGCGGTTTCCTAGTCAGCGGGCTGCCTTGTGACATCTCACCAGCAAGGGTGTACTGCAGACACATCTTCACAGACAAAATATTTCACACAGGATCCGACATTAACAGCGGCCCAATGGCCCGAAGCCACCGCACGACTGTGTCAGGTCACCTGAAGTTCACTGATGGTGGCCTGACCGGACCACCAGTGCAAATTGTGTAAAGAAATGAGATGTAGGATCTCGTATTGAATATTTGGAGCTGTCTCGACTTAAATTGATCGATGATCTCTACTCGCCCCAGTGTACGCGTTCAATCTCCCCCATTCACTGGCACACAGTGTACTACGTACTCGCGTACATCATGTTCGCGGACTGTTTCCTCTGAAAATATTTTCGAGTGTTTTCCAGGGATGCGCTTTTGTCCCTTGTCTCATGTCAAGAGTGTTGCGGCCTTTTTTCCAGACGGGTTATTTCAAGGACCTGTGCGTTCCGGTGGTGCCAATATTGAGGAGCGCACAAGAATTCTCCGTTTGCGTGGCACTCCCTCAGCCACATAAGAAAAAAAAAAAAAATGTGGGCAGATCCCGGAATAGATCACAGTGAGTGGGGTGGAGCTGGCTGGCGAGGTGGAGGGGGGGAGGGGGGTCGATCGCACCGCTCGGACTGCCTGGCTGCTTTTTATTCAATTTGAAAAGCACGGAAATGGAGTCGTCATTGCTGACTGACCCAATTCGCTAAAAACCAGCCATGGCTCCTGGTTGATTCTTGGCCGTGCCTCCGCCAGGGCTTCCTCCTGATGAACTGCCACCATTTTGCGCCTCAGGTAACAGGCAGCGTGCAAGTTTCCTGCTTAAAGGACGCGTGAGACGGGTGGAGGGGCTTTACAGGAAGTGTTGGAATTTCCCTTTCATGTCAGCAACGGGCCTGGCTCGGCGCGCCGCCGGGGGTTCACCCCCCCCCCCCCCCAACCCTTATCCCCTCAGCCCCCCACAGGCGGTGGGATGGAGTGACACAAATCTCACCCTAGGTTTAACCGCTCCCCGTTTCTGTTCCCCCCCTCTAGGGACCTGCATCAAGTGCGGAAAAGGCGTGTACGGAGCAGACAATGCCTGCCAGGCTCTGGACAGCCTTTATCACACGCGCTGTTTCACCTGCGTGTCCTGTGGTGAGTTTAAAGGGGGAAAAAAAAGACAAGTAAACATAAACCTGCACAAAATGGATTTGAAAGGGGTTTGTTTTTGTAGGACGTGCCTTGAGAAACAAGGACTTCTACAACGTGAACGGCTCGGTGTACTGCAAAGAAGATTACATGGTGAGCCTCTTTTGCTTGTGTTGTTTTTTTTTTTTTTTTTTTTTTGCCAATTCCTCATTGCTTTTCTTGTACTCGGCAGTTTTCGGGATTCCAGGCCGCTGCCGAGAAGTGCAGCGTGTGCGGCCACCTCATTCTGGAACAGGTGAGCTGCCCTCCCCTGACCCCAAAGAGAAGGCAGACGACAGTTATTTTTCCTTTTCAATCGAACTTGTCCTTCCTCGTCTCAGCCAATCCCAACATCGATCGCGCCGTCTATTGAGGACTATCATGACCGTATGGCGAGCAGAATTCCCACAATTCCACATTTTGCCGTGAGAAAAATTGCCACTCAAATGATTTTTTGAAACAAATCGAATGTATCTTTCCACATGTCTCAACAAACTGAAACAACAACTCACATTCCCAGAATGACCAGAAATTCATTAAAAAAAAAAAATCATTTCTTTCAAAAGTGAAACATTTGAACTGTTATTGGGGAGGAAATCTTAAATGTTCCCTTTTGATACTTTATTACAAATTTCACCTCTTGCATAAGAAAATTCCCCAGTGGAAACTTTTGAACCCTTTTGAGCTCATTTCAACAATTCTCAGATCAAAGATGATCTTCTTCTGCGTGAGGAAATTCCCAATTTGACAGAAATGAATCATAGTCATTCTGACTTGAAAAAGTCAACATTCCCACTTGAAGTCCACATTTCTCTTGAGAATGTGGAAACGAGCAAGTCCACCATGACTTCAACATTCCTACTTTGCTGCAAGATTCCGAGGAAAAGTTTTCACCAACATTTTGCAACCGATTCCAACGGTTTTAATGTCAAAATTGTTAACAGCAGTCCCCTTGTAGAAATGTCATGTCTGGCTTTCTCGTGTGACAGTCTCGCCGCGCCCCCCAAAAAAGAGGCTATTTCAGTGGCTGTCTCCTGACCGCAGCTCTGAGAAAATCCAGAAAATTCCCTGTGGAGTATGTCGTGGTCCTCTGAATGAACAAATCCCAAATTCGACCTCCAGAAAATTCCGGCTTGGTCGCAACCGATCGCGGAAGCCTCTGGGGACAGACACTCTCTTCTAGTTGAACTCCCAGAGTGGCTCCGAACAGTGTCTCCAATGTTGTCATTGTGGCCTCAGATCCTGCAGGCGCTGGGCAACTCGTACCACCCCGGCTGCTTCCGCTGCGTGGTGTGCGCCAAGGCCTTGGACGGGGTGCCGTTCACCGTGGACCAGCACAGCAACATCTACTGCGTGGCCGACTACAACAAGTATGCGCATCTCGTACGCCCCCTTCGACGTCACTCGTCTCTCAACTTTTGTCTTTTCCGTCTCCGCAGGACTTTTGCCCCAAAGTGCGCTGCCTGTTTGCAGCCCATCTTGCCTACTGAGGTGAGTGCTGTAATGGCCTCGAAAAGTTGGTAATTTTTGACAAGCTCATCGTCTTCCACAGCCCCGCCTCCGCGATTATTTTTCATCCAAACATAAATGGGCCGAATTTTGGTTCCGGCTTGTCCCTGCTCACATCTCGCTCGATTCATCCACAAACTGGTTCATTCTGGAATGATTTTGCAGGGCAGCGAGGAGATCCTCAGGGTTGTGTCCATGAACAAGGACTACCATTTTGAGTGTTACCACTGTGAGGTGAGTGACGCACACCAAACGCCTCTTCTGTTTGCGCTAGCTGACATCACTTCCCGTACGCATTCCTTGTCCCCCCCCCCCGCAGGAGTGTGGCAAGCAGCTCTCCGATAAGCCCGGCTCGCAGTGCTTCCCGCTGGACTCTCATCTGCTCTGCCACCCGTGTCACATGAGCCGAGTGTGCAGCGCCGCCACGCAAAACTGAGGAAGCCCTCCCCTTTGCGTGCTTCGGTTTTATTGACTCTCAACATGTAACTGCTGATTTTAAGACATTCCCGCGGCTCCTTTTTGACTTGCGCCCGCCCTCCCCTTTGACTCCACTGTACCTGCTGTTGTTCTACTTTTTACTGTATGGTCACAAAAAAAAAAGGGAACAGGAAAGAGACTACTGCTCATTTGCTGTAGAAGAACAAAGGATCCTGCTTAACTGTACATATTTTGTTAGCAAACATTTTGCACTTAAATCTCACTTTGAGATTTTGTTAAGGTGAACCAGTCAAATTTGAGGACAATTACTGTTATTTCTGTATGCTGTAACAACACGTCTGTGTTCTATAGATTTAATAAGACTGCTTTGTGGTTGTACATTTCAGAGTTCATATAAAAAAAATTGATGCTTTTGAGCTGGTCTGTGTCTGAATCCCCCCCAACAGATAGCGTGCATGAGGCCAAGGTTTTCCCAACTGAAGTCGGTCAGCACTTCAATTTATTAACTTATACGTCATGACTTGCAATACATTCAACAGCAACAAAAATCAACTTTTCAACTAAAACAAGATAAAATGGTAAAAAATTTGGATCTCCTCTGCACTACTCACCAAGACATCGGGATATGTGACTTTCAGTTGACATTTCAGGATGAACCCAAACTGCACGAGGTCTTGAACAAGTTCACTTTTTATGTCCCGAGGTTCAGCACTGAGTACGCGCAACTTGGCTGTTCTACAACAAGGAGCTGAAGGATAAAATTCACAACAGACGCTTGATGCATTTAAAATTGAAAGGACGTCCACTTCTATGCCTTTCTGTGACTCTTCCAGTCTCTCTCTGATTTATTTGGTGTGGTCTTTTTTTTTTTTTTTCCACGGATCAAAACCATGTTGTGAATGTTGCCGTTCAGCTCCTTGTTAAAGAGGAAGTTGTACATAAACGACTGAAACACAGAGTTGGATGTTTTCCAATCGGGAAGTCAAAGGAACTTCACTTATAAAAGAGCTACTCTAGCGCATTTTCGCGCTACCCAGAAATTTCGCCACAAGGCCCGATACACCAAATTTTTTTTGTAATTAGTGTAGAAGGGTTTTCGAGGGGGCAAGATTCCTCTGATGTCTTAAAATAAAACAAGCATGACGATAGCATCTTCTATCCCTGTTTCAATGTTACCGACAAATGTAAAAAGAAAAGCAAAAAAGAAAGAATGATCACAGGTCTGTAAAGTTCAGTGCTGAAGCAAGTCGAAACACTAAAACTGCTCAGAGACGAGTGTGGATGGATAGGGGATCTATTTTGGACTTTATTATAGGGCTTGGGGAGGAATAAACTGTGGAACCACAGAAGTTGAAGGAGAAAAAAAAAGGCCTCCCAAACCTCAGGAGGACCGGACCGCCCCCTCCGAATGGACGCCACATCACGACGGGAGCCCTCTTCCGCGTGCTTCAGTGGCGCCTGTCTCGGGTGTCGCTACAACTACGAGAGCGGCGCCCAAGTGGCGGTCGCCCGGGCCGGCGCTCGCCTTCCCGCCTCCGCTCGCCATCTTTGTTCCGGCTTCGCTCCTTTTCCCGGTCGGCGTCGGCTGCCCGGCTGGACGCCGTGGCGCCGCCTCGATCTTCTTTTTCCCGGGCCTTCAGCCGCTCCTTCTTCCGCTCCTCGCGAACTTTTTCCTGCTCGTCTTGCAGCTCCTTGAGCCGCCGCTCTCGCTCCTTTTGCCGCTCGCTGCGTTCCAGCACCTTCTGCACCACCTGGTGGTGGAATTTAAAAAATATAGATAAGTGTACACTCACACACTGCGTTGAGCATGGTACTTGAAAAAAAGTAATTATAGTTACAAATTACTTCTCCCCAAAAGTAATTGAGTTACCAACTCAGGTACTGCCTTGTAAATGATTTTTTTTCTATGATGTCATCGCTAGTGTCAAATAATTTTGTAATCGCTAAATGAGCAAGTATATATACATTCCAACATCTGGCAATTATTTGAAGTCAACAGATTGCAGCTTGCCAGATGAACAGAAAGATTAAATATTGAATCACTATCAAATCTTGAAAATGTTATTGTACATTGAAATTCTGGATAGATGCCGCCAGAGGGACAGGATCCCAAAGCATCCGCACCATCCATCCAACATGTACACAGTCACGAAGCCATGTTCCATAGATGACTGCATTTGGCAGTTCAATTGCTCCCCCAAAAACAAAGCACCTTCGCATGACCTCACCGATAGCATCGGCTTCAATTCACATCAGCACAAAGTGATGCGCAAACAATGATAGAGATTCGCGCTTTCTGCAAACGGGACATTTGAACTCACCTTTTGGAATTCACACCCAAACCATGTCTGCAAATACAGGCAGGAGGACACCCACCTGTTCTTCGGTGAGGGGGAGCCAGTATATACAAGGAGCTGCTTTGGTCTTGAGGAACAAGTCATCGAGAAGCTTTGCGGGAGGCTCGTCTGCCTTCTCTGAGGATGACAAAAAAGCACGACAGTGGCACAGGCTTGTGTTAGGGCTCGGCGACCAATCCATTCCATCTAATTGTGTTTCCCCTGTTGCGTATCAGCGGTTCATCATAGCAATCGGTTTTTGGGTTGGGCAGTACAGTATAAAACGCAGTAATGGGTCAATATTCGTGGAAAATAATGAAGATTTCAACAGCCAGGTGGAAGTTTCATCCTCTCGGCTGCTTGAAAGTTGACACATTCTCAGATGGACCACTTTTAGTTTGGTTCTTAAGTCCTCTGATGGCCCCTGAAGGCAGGAGAAACGTACTCGGGTTCCATTCCTTCGGTATTCACTGCACACGACACTTGGCATTTTAGACTTGATTTGGAATGAACTTGAGAAAGTGTCTTTTCAGACGTTGAAATGTTTTTTGCGAGGGGTAAAACTCCAACACCGAATAACAAGGCGTGTATGGTGGATTTTCACCCATTGCGGGTCAGCGTCTGCGGAACGTATGGGTCGAATTTAAATCTGTTTGATCCGGCCGATTTTTTGGGGGGGCGGTGTTTTGACGTGCACTCCTTCCACGAACAGCATGGCTGCGAACACGGAGGAGACAATGAACCAAAACCTTGTCGACGAACAGCGAGCGGAATGAGTTTGGTTTGCGAAAGAAAAGCAAGGGCACAAAGTGATTTATTGACACGTTGGAAACTTTTGACCCGAGGAATGTGCTTCCCAGCTGCAAATATTTTGCAGAGGTCGGCTTGCCTCACCCGGGCAGCGCGACACGAGAAAAGGGCGTGAGAGAGGCGGGGGGCCATCCGTGGAGTTTGCCGGCTGGCTCCTTTTTACTCTGCAATGTTGAACATTTTCAACATTCATTTATCATGGACTGTGTTTATTTCCATGTTTTGGCCAGAGGCATTTATGTCCCCAAGAGGAAGCACTTATTTTGGCATTATTCGTGAGAAAAAATATTTCTGTGGAAGTTGGTGCAAGTTACAAGCTGGGGAAAACCGGAGATAAAGAGAGAAAAAAAACCCCACTAAAACTTATTGTCAAACCTACCCTTCTTGTCGGTCTTCCTCTCCTTGCTCTTTGGCCGTTCCCGCCGCCGCCGCTCCTTTTCCCGTTCTCTGTCTCGGTCACGGGACCTGGAGCGCCGCTCGCCCTTGTCGGCGCCTGGCCTGGCGAATTCCCGGATCTTGTCGCGATCCCACTCGCGCTCGCCGCGGGCCCGCTCGCGGCGCTCCATTTGCCGCTGCCGCTCAGCCCACAGGTCCCGCACGGCGGGCGCGCCACGCTCATGCTCCCTGTCGCGTTCCCGCTCTCGGTCCCGCTCCCGGTCTCGCTCGGGCATGAGCGGGGGTGGTCGGCTGGGCGGCGGGGCCGGCTGCGGGACTTGCGGCTCCGCGTGGTTTGGCTTCAACAAACCTTTGTGAAAGTCAAGCTGCGTGCGGGGAACAGCAACAAAAAATGGCGAGCGGTCCAAATTGGAGCATTTTGGTGATTTAACGGTCAACAATTATTTTGATTGTTATATTTTTTTTTCCTTTTGTGCAGCAAAGTTATTTTAATGGTTTCTGTGTGACTTTGGGGTGCTAAGTCCAAAATGCCATCCGTTTCTTTAAATTGGCTCTAGTCTATTTTTCCCAAACTGAGTGATAATATATGTGCTTTGACAGTTTCCAAAATGTACTTTTGATTGTTAGTTAAAGCAGTGTTTGTACTTTGACATTTCAAAAACTAGCTTTTGACCTGAACTTTGGATTTTTCACATAAAAGAGGACTTGCATCTAGAAAGCTGTCTGCGATAACGATTGCCATCTTTCACAAAATACCATCAAAGATGAAAGAATACTGTACGGACAGGCTTGAGGAGAAAGAAGAGGCTCAATTTCATTGGAGCATAAAGCGACCCCAAATGTCATCACTGGGTATAATTTGCACTTTGTTAATTCACTCCCAAAGACAAAGACGTATTTAGATGTCTTTTCAGACGCCACACATTTAATCCTAGCTCCTCATTTTATATTGACTGTACTTGAAAAGGGTCTGAAAATGGCTGGCGTCTGAAAAGACATCTAAATACGTCTTAGGGAGTGAATGAGTTAAAAACAATAATCATGGAATATCTCAAAAACTGGAGCCAATTCGGAAAAAAAACAATGTTACTGTGGTGCCGCGCTACACCCTACACGTCAGTCTCGGTACTACGACAGCGTGCTGACAAAGCAGCAGGCACGTAAGCATTACCTCATCCTGCTCACAGAAGTCCACACTGAGCACTTTGGGATTGCTCTGGGGCCATTTGACTCCGTGAAGACTTTCCCTGGTGGCTGCCGCCTCCTCTGTCGTCGTGTACTGGGAAGGGCAGAGAGTGGACCATGAGCACACAAACGTCACCTCGACCGATTCAAATCGGCGGCGGCAGCGGCTCACCGTGACGTAGCAGTGTGACTTGATCTTGTCAATCCAGAAGCCGTCTTCCACCATGCTACCGGTCTGCTTCAGGAGCTCTTTGAGCTGGCCCACGGTGAACGGTCGCACCTTTGAGCAGACAAAACATGCATTTAGTGTGGTTGTGGCGTAATAAAAAAAAAAAAAAACATCAATTATATATCATGAAAATGAATAAATAAATACATTCAAGGTTGGAAATGACTTTTGCTGATAAAAGACTTCATTTAAGGAGCATCGTTTTTGCTGGTGGGACCTGAAGCAAGGGGTTTTAATCGACAATAATCAAATAAAAAATAATGAACAATTGATTTCCTTTGTGACTTAACCAACCTCAAGAATTTTTTTCATTTCTAAAATTCACATCACAAATAGCAGCAAACTTATTTTCTTGTCCATACATGTTTTCAGTGAGCGCAATTTCCCCAAAATAAATACATTTCAGTTCAAACTTATTTCTGACTGGGTTGTCTGGTACTCTAGCGAACTGAAATAGATTTTAAGAAATGGGAAAAAGAAAAACAAGATGATATTTACGTAAATTTGAGAACAGCAGCGATGTGAAACTTCTTATTTTTAGCCTTCAGATGGTATGATTTCTTCTATGAATGACAGAGGCAAGTTTGGCCGGCCGGCCCGTGACGGCGAGATAACGCGTGCATGAGCTTCTGCTCCAAACCCACCAGGTTGGTCACGTGGACGATATTGGAAAGTTTGCCGCGGGGCGGCGAGGGCTTCCGCGTGGATCGGATGGGGTCGTCGATTGTGATGGACACGCCGGACCGCTGCTGACTGATGGAGCGACGCACCAAACCGTCGTCGGTGGAAGCTAAGGACGAGAGGCACGTGATTGGAAAGCTCAGAGATTGGAAGGAAGAAATTCGAGGCTTCACCTTTCTTCGGGTCTCCGTCGGGCTTCTCTGCAGTCTTCTCGGGAGGAATTGGCTTGGATTGCTCTACGGGGGGCGGTCGCGGGATTTCGCTCTCCGCCGTCTCTGCGTCTTCCTCTTCGTCACCTCGCCCGTTCTCCTGGCTGTCCCCGGGGACCACCTGGACACGGGCAAACATTGACGGACCGGCGGACAAAAGAGCGACGGCACCGTTCAGACGGCTCCCTTGCCTGCGTCACCGTGCGTCGAATCTTGAGACCGTCGTCCTCGTCTCCCTGGCCGTTGTCCTTGTTGTCCTCATCCCCGGACAGCTGCAGCTCCTCTGGGTGCAGGTCCACCACGGCCTCCTGGGCTATTTTGATATCTGGAATTAAAGACTGCGGGGAAACACACAGGGAAAGGATCGGGTCATTATGAGCAAACAAAATGAGACAGATGAAAATGACCATGGCCAAGAATGAGTTTGCCCGTTCCATCCCTAAAGGAGACTTTTGCTCATCCGCCACCCCGCACCTTGAGAGAGTCAGTAGTGATGCTGATGGACGGCTTCTTGGCAGTGACCGCCGTGCTGGAGCCCCAACGCCTCTTCCTCCCCGCCGCGGCTCCCGTGTCGGCGTCTCCCGCCCCTCCGTCGGCATCGACAGGCGGCGTCTTGCTGCCTGCGCGGGAAGGGGAGGGGTGTGCCAAAGTCAAATCGGAGAAAAAGAGGACGGCAGAATCTCGAACCCAAGGGTTATCACATTCGGGTCCACCTACTGGTCAGTGAGATCTTGCGAGCGGCAAAAGCCTTTGGAGTGGTGCTCTGGAATGAGAGGGAGAGAGAGAAAAAGAACATACAGAAACCCCAAAGGGTGCAGCGGGTGAGATGGGAACTCCAAATGGGCAAACAAGAGGTCAAACAGGAAAATGTGGTGAGGAAGGTTTTTTTTTATTTTTTTTTATGGGGGGTTAAAAAGTGTTTGAGGAGAGTCCGGAGACATCCGTGTTCCACCTCTGCTCAAGGACGCAAACATAAACCACTGACATACTAAATTGATTTATTATTTATTGTCTTTTGAGTGTGGTGTGTGTGTGTGTGTGTGTGTGTGTGTGTGTGTGTGTGTGTGTGTGTGTGTGTGTGTGTGTGCGTGTGCGCGAGACTCAGGGTAAAGATGCGACTAACTAGCCGAGTGTCTCCACATTGCATTTTCCTCAAATTTCATTTTTAAGTGTAAAAGTTTTAACGGTGCGTGAAGTAATTAGGGAAAAAAGTGGCCTCATTAAAAGCCATTCCATGTGAAAAATTCCCTTCATTTTGCATGTGTTCTTTGAAGCAGAGGTGGAAAACTGAGCCCTGGAGACTTTTTTTTTTTTTTTTGCAAGGATTTGCACATTAAACAATAGACTGCAGAGTTTTTTTTAGCACTACCACTTGAGTAAGACTATCAAATAAAACTGCAGTATCAAACAATGTCTGTCAATTATAATGAGGAATGTTAACTCCTCAAGCAATTAAGACATTTTAAATGGTGAAAAGTGATTGCCTGGTACCATTTGACACCTGATTCCTTACTGGCTCGACTAGGGCCCAACCGCACGACCCTGTGCACTGTATCTAGGCAACAAGGATCCAATCAGGGAAGGCTGAGGAGTGAGGCCATGCCTCGATTTGAGTGTGCAGGAACTGATCACTGGGGTGGACTTTTAGTCTTTGAAGGGGGGGTTGCTGCATTTGTTCATCAAGCGGCAGCTCAGAGTCACAATTGTGTCCGTGGGAGGGGGCAGGGCGAAAGGTTCACTTTCACGTCCTTGATTCCACAGGTAAAGCACAAGTCCATTGGGAGTCTTTGGAAAGTTCTTGTGGCGCTCTCAAAAATAAAATTAAATCAACAAAGGTAATTACGAAAAATGTAAAAAGTCAGATGCATTTGTGGCATTCAGATTTGTAATCCAGGAAGCCGCGCATGTGGGAGAACTCGGAGAAGCGCCAAGTTGTGGGCGGAAAGACGTCACGGAGGCCGAAAAAGCAATTTCACAGCATCGGAGCCCAATGTGGAACATCTTGGCTCCACAGCCAGCAAGTCCAGCCTCAAATGGCATTTCCATGGCTTAATGTCCACTGACAGTTTGTCGAAGGAGTCCATGGAGAAGCGCTTCTTTTAAAGTGTGTCCGACGGTGTCGTGCCAGCCTTCTTTCCATTGTGAAAGCGGCAGATATGTCCGTATTGGATTCGTGGTGGAAATTCAGTCCAGTGTCACAAAACGAGCGGGCGCCCGGTTGTCGGGAGGCTGGATGGCACACCTTGCCCCTGCTCACTGCCGCGAATCAGTGCCACAAAAGTACAGTCCAGGTCAGTTCAGCGTGCAGCTCGGCTTCCAACTCTCGAGGCAAGGTGACCGTGACAACCGGGGTCTGCCGTTACCATCGCTGCTGCGGCTCTGATGTGTGCTCCAGTTCCTGCTGGTGCCTCAGACTTTACTCAGGGCCACAAGGGCTCGCAGACTCTGGGCCTAACTGGGCCAGCAGCGACGCACTCAGACATATCGGGACAGGAGTTGAAGGAGGAGTAGGAGGAGTGGAGGAGGTGTTGTTGGTGGAGGTGGTGGTGGTGGTAGTAGTACGCAGCTTGTACCATTAGGGGCAATGGAAGAGACATGGGCACCTTCATAACAAAGCAATCAATGTGGTTTTAAAACAACAATCACACCATAAATATATTTCAGAGAGAATCGTTTATGAGGGGATACAAAAGGCTAGAGAGAGGAAGAAAAGAGGCAAGAAAGAAGCCATGATGCATCACTACACACCCCAGCACTCACTAGACGCTTGAAAAAAACATTTCCTGAGACTAACAACTCGACCAAATTACCTCCTCATATGCACGCTTCAAGTGCAACTTTGAGCAAATAGTGAAAGCACAATGGTACGGGACAAACACGCCCTTCAATGCGGGACATGCAGTTTGGACGCCGTGATTTGGACGATCAACCACCCAGCGTCTGCACTCAAGGGCCGATGAGGTGCGTTCTGGGTAATTAGTTGGGTTAAAATGCAATGAATTGCCACAGCTAAAAACTGGTTAAGAATGACCCAATTAATACAGTGGTGCCTTGAGTTGAGTTTCATTTGTTCCACAAAAAAAAAAAAAAAAAAAAAAAAAAAAAAAAAAAAAAAAAAAAAACAGCACAGAACACATTTTTCAAAAATTAAAAAAACAAAACAAAACAAAAAACAAACAAACAAACAAACATTGCAATAACAGAACAACAATTGAAAACAATATAAAGAGTGTGCGCATCATGAATCATTTATTGTGCAGCTCCTTGACATGCATGCCTTAGCCACCAGGGGAAGTGCAATAAAACACATCCCTCCATTATCCAAACCGCTTACCCTCACTCGGGTCGCTGGCGTGCTGGAGCCTATCCCGGCTGTCTCCGGGCGGCAGGGCCAGCCAATCACAGGCAACATTCTAGACCAGCAACCAGTCACACTCACATTCACCCCTATGGCCAATTCTGAGGACCCAATTCCCAATTAACCTACCGTACAGGTTAGCAATGTAATAATATCCAAACGTCACATTACGGTAATTAGCATCAAATGAACCTCACAATACGATAGTTATCACAATACTGTAGGGAAGTTGGCGGGGGGGAAAAAGGCCACCCTACTGAATAAAAATGCATGATAAAAAATATAGTAATATTCATTGAAGCACAATATTGTGTTTTTGTATGTAACACCAGTGACAAGGAAACAGGATTGGCCAGTCATTTCATTGTCACGTGCTCCTTTTGGCTCAGCAGCGCAAAGTACCACAATGCTGTGTTGGGCTGGTAACACTTAATTTTGAGGCACTGACTTGCTTATGCATACACATTGTGAAGCCAGTCAATTTGCCCTTCATCTGGCGATAAACATGGTTCTTGAACGGAAGGTGGCCAAAACATCCATCCATCCATCCATCCATTTTCTGAACGGTTTTGTCCTCACGAGCGGCACGGGTGTGCTGAGGCCTAGCCAAGATGACTTTGGGCAGTAGGCGGCGTACACCATGAACTGGTTGCCAGCCAACCGCAGGGCACACAAAGACAAACGCCCATTCGCACTCACAATCACACCTAGGGACAATTTTGAGTGCTCCAGAAACCTGCCATGCATGTTTTTGGAATGTGGGAGGAAACCGGAGTCCCCAGAGAAAACCACCCCAGGGACGGGGAGAACATGCAAACTCCACACAGGAAGGCTCGAGCCCGGAATTAAACTCATGACTCCTGCAACATGAGGCGGAGGTGCTAACCAGTTGCCCACCCTGCCGCCGTGGCAGCCTTATTCAAATTAAACTGCACTCATAAACTAACAACCAGAAAGTGCTGGAACTTCACAAATGGAAAATAACCTGGCCTATTTCACAGATTTGCTACTTTTATTAACGTGAAATGACAATGATGATGTTTTGGGATTTTTCATATTGCAATATTGCCATTACCGTTTTATCCCTAATACAGATGTTAAGAGACTGTCACGTGAGCTGCAGTAGCGTGCTTTATTTTTTAACCAATGGATAAAGATTATGCTAGTGAGAATTGTTCTATTGTCTGTCTACCTATGTTGCTACACTGTTTGTCTTGAAATATCAGTTGCCCAAAGAGTTATAACATTGTAACCGCAATGCTAGTTTTGTTAGCCTGTTTAAGGGCTTATGCATCGTGTTACACTAGCGAAGTTGTGCTTTTTTTTAAGATACACGTATTTACTTGGTTTTACGATTAGCTTGACAGTGTCATACCCGTGACAAAGCAAAAAGCGATTTAGTGAGGGCTCAAATATTGGGGGGAAAAAAAATAGCCAGGTCCCTCGTAAATCAAGATACCACTGTATTTGGGTTTTTCTCCAGGTTGTGTTGGTTTCAAGTGAGCCTCGTGTCAGCTAGCCATGCTTGATCATGAATGAGGATGCGAGGTTTTAGCGGGAGACGGCCAAACGCTCAGCCTTCTCGGCCAGACTTACCTCCTCCAGGCGACCCTCGCCATCGATTGGCTCCCCGTTCGGCGCTGGCTGCCGGGCCTCGCTGCTCTCTGAGCGGGGCTCCCCCTCCGACACAGCTGCCTCACTGGTCTCTGACATCTCTCTGCCAGAAGAGAAGAAATGGGTCATATGGGTCTATTATGCTTCTCTTCATTAGGGACATTTACAGTCAGTTGTGGCTGCCCTCACCAGGGCCAAGGGTTAGTTAACAACCATTGTACTAAAATGTCACATAATCACCTAGAGCAAATGACTGGTTTTTACAATACTACAATGTACTAAGCAGGTAACATCTGGGATGTGTGTGTGTGGTGGGCCACATTCAACCTCATCTTCTAATGATATCCCCTTAACGGTGAGCTAATTCAGTCGAATTATTTGAAATTGCAAGTAAAAAGTGGCCACTTCCTCACGCTACAAAAGACACCCATCGCCATTCCCTCATATTCCCAATGCAGCACCAGTGTCGCCCTGTCTCCCTCCCATTCGTACCCGTTTTTGTTTGCCTCGGATACCATTCTCGCCGGTCTCGAGGAAGGGACGTGACACAAACGAACCCGACTCGCGCGAAGCAATCGTTCAGGTGCGCGGAGGGTTTTAAAAATTGACTCCCGTCGGACGTGCTTTGGTCAAAGCACCTGAAATTACTGCGACGCGATCAAAGATGCAATGTGGACATCCCAGCCATGTTGGCTAGCGAAAGCGGCGCCAAGTAAAAAAAAAGAAAAGAAAAGAAAAACACTAAACGCCTATTATATTCCTATCTCATCCGCAAAAAAAGGAGTTACATTAACAACTCTTAACCCGTGATAGAAACATACGACGATATTACTAAAACGCCTTGTAATCAATTAAAGGCCGGGTGGCGCCGTTAGCTACGAGTGGAAATCACACCAAGATGAAACAGGAGGAGGACGAGGACCCATTAGGGAAAAAAGGCTACAGCCAATACATTCATAGGGCGACCCGAGACATGCCTGACCGAAAATACAACAAGTGATCAAATTCAGCGACGTCATGACGTTGGATTACTTCAGTTTTCGGTTGAAGGCTTTTGTTTCACAAATGGACCTGAACGTGTGTAATGGACAGTAAAAAAGTAATTACTATAATCGAATACTTTTATTCAGGCAGCCAAAACAACATCTGTCCGTCCATTTTCTAACCTACTCGCCTTTACAAGTTTTGCCAGAACTCTCGTGGCACAGACGCAAACTCCGCACAGGAAGGCTGGAGACGACACTCAGAACCTCCGGATTGTGATGCAGACTTACCCCCCCCCCCCCCCCCCAAAAAAACACTCACAACCCCCCAGATTATTACTGCGGGACAAACATCCGTTTACCGCCCCCCCCCCCCCCCCACAAAAAAACACATTTACAACACCACATTTTTTAAGCCCCTTTGGCAACATGAAGAATATACACCCCACTGCAGTTAATCAAAAATTAATTAGATTATTTGTTGTGCTCAACATGCTGTCATTACCTCTTACAATAACATGACAGTCAACTAAAGATTTTCCTGTTAGGAATAAAAATCACAGAGGCAAGCAAACTTGACTCGTTCTTACCGTGCTTTTTGTTTCAGGAGTTGACCACCGAGTCATGTTCTTTACATGGTAAATGGGCTTTCACTTGTGTCGCGCTTTTCTACCTTAGGTACATAAAGCGCTTCAAACAAATATTTACAGTAATTATAAAGTGCTACACTGTTTCCTCATTCATCTACTGATGACGCAGCATCATGAGCAACCGAGGGTTCGGTATCTTGCTCAAGGACACCTCGACGTGGTGACAACGGCCACGGGATCGAATTGCCAGCTTCACCTGAGAGACAACCACTCGACTACTGAGCCATGCCGTTCTGCACATACTGTGGACCCGGTGTGGGCAAAGAAGGACTCTGTTCTGTAATCTGGCCTATTGAGCATTTACATTATCAAATGTCCTATAACACTTAAGGCATGTACTTATTTCATTCTATTGTTTTTCTTAATTAATTGATCTAATAAAAAAAGAGCTGCTAATGTATTGTTCATCCTAGAATTCAAAATACAAACATAAGCACAAATATTTTGTGATCAAAATCAACTTAAAATAAGTCACATTAAAGTGTTGACATTTTGATCTTATGAAAAAAATTGGTTAATTAGAAATATCAAAAGTATATATACATCTCTCTCTCTCTCTATACATATATTTATATATATATATTTACACACAACACACACACACTTGATACACACACACACACACACACACACACACAGATACATATACATTCACACACACGAACAGACACACGTATCTCTCTCTATCTATATAAGTGCCTGTTGGCCCTTGAGCACAAGCGTTTGCTGTTGACTGAGGCCTTGTCTCCAAGTAGCCAGGTATTTTGAAAACTACAGGTGTTTTTTTCTGCGGCTTGGCCCGTCATCCACATGGCCCCATAGATTTTTTTTTCCATTAAAAATTAATGTTTCCGAAAACACTGGCCAAAGTGGATATTTCCGGGTCTGCGGGAAAAAAGCTTGGTTACCTGTAGACAAGGCCAAAGATGGCAGCAGATGGATGCAATTAATTAGCGGCAATTCCAGCGGTGTAGGTCTAATTCTACTTGAGTGTCACTGCAAACCTTTTCAGGAGGTGTCCTTTCTCTGTCCCCGTCCCCTTTGTCTCATTATCTGCATCTTGGCCTAGCTCGGCTCCCTGTGAGATGATGGGACACACACACACACACACACACACACACACACACACACACACACACACACACACACACACACACACACACACACACAAATGGAAATAAGAGTGCTTTAGCGTTCAAATACAACGCAGTTAAAGTTCTCAGATCTTCATTAGTGCTCTATCGCAGTGATACCAGACCACTATAATATGATCCAATTGGTCCACAAACGACTATTTCCTTGACTACAAATAATGTATCTTTGTTTATTTTGCTTACGTCGGTGAAACACACCTCTTTTAGCTTGATCACTGACCTTCGGCTGCCTCACATGGCGTGACTGAACCCTGACAGGCGATGAGGATGACGATTTTGACGAGGAGTCGGACTGCGAGTCCGGATCTGACGAGGAGCCCAAGTCCCGATCCCCGGCCGTGCTCTTCTTACCAGCTGCCTGTTTTTTCTCCCCGAGCTCTTCTTCATCTCGCGCTTTTGCGTCTTCCGCTTTTCGGTCGCTCATCTCATTTTCTTTCTTCTCGCTCCCCTCTGGAGACTCACTGGTGCCCGCGCTGGTCTGGGCCTCCTCCGACTCCATCTTGTGCACCAGCAGAGAGAGCGGGCCAGGTCTGCGCTTCACAGGGGGCTCGGGACTGCTGGAGCGGGATCTCGAGTCTGAGTCTCGCCCCTGCGAGGTGTGAGGCGGGATGCTGGGTGGTGCTCCGGAGCATTCGCCCTCCTTATCGTCAGTGTCCGGTGGACTCTGCTTGGGAGTGTCCGGTAGGGGAAACAGGTCAGGCGGCGGTGAGGGAGGTGGCGTCGGGTGGCGCAGTTGCATCAGATTCTGGTGCGGCTGCGGTGGTGGGATGTGCTGTGGAGGCTGAAGCTTACGTTTGGACCTCACAGAACTGGCGGGCATCTGCGGAGGCCGCGGGGGGGCCTGGTTGCCTTTTCGCGCTCCGACTGGCCCCGGCCCCCAATCCTCGTCATCCCCGCTATTGTCATCGTCGTCATCGTCCTCGTCACTGTCCTGCTGGACCGTGGCAGATACGCCGGCCGATCGGCTGAGGTGGAGGACCGAGTGGGCCGATCCGGTTTCGCTCGGTGCGACGCCCTCTTTCTCTTGGGCTCTGGACAAGGCCGGGGGCAGTCCCTGGCGGTCCGGCTGACCCAGAACGCGCACGGACAGGGAGGCCACGGCGCGGGGGGGAGAGGGGGCCGGTGGCTCCTTGTGTCCTTGAGGAAACGTGGCCCTCTGCATCCTGGCTCCGGGAGCTTCCGGAGCCGCCTGGTGACCAGTGGTGCCATCTGGCCTATGTGACACCCCTTCGCCCCTCAGACATCCCGCCCTCTCTGCCAAAGCGGGATTCGGCTGTGCAAAAAGGTCACATGTCAGACTGACTTCAAAACTTAACTGGCTGAGTGATTCTCAAAAGGGTGGTGGAAAAATATGAGGTTATTACATCATCAAGTCGTCATTCTCAGTAAAAGAAAAACAATTAAAATACAGTCATGCAACTTTGAAAAAATGGTTTCACGCCATACACACAAACAACATTGATTTTCGATTAATTGAAGACTTAAAAAGTTTGCGATTGCGATGAAGTGAAAAAACTGTCACATAAAATCACATACGCATGCCTGAAAAATTTGCGCTAGTGAGACAGCAAAAAGAAAACGGTGTCCATTTTTCAAGTTCAGTTGTATTTATCTTTAAGTGCAATACAATTGCATCCATTACATTTATTTAGACCTATTTTTGACGTACACCGGCAATATATTTGAACTGAATCATTACTTAAGTCCTGTTTTTATGTTCCTATATTCAAAGACAGTGTGGATGTTCAAAGTGTGCCTTAGCTTTCAATGTCTTACAATAGTTTCATTTCTGGGAATAAACCCTTTGTCTCCACTGGGAAAGCAAACTATGTATTTTTTTTTAAGTGGTACTTGTTGTAAAGAGTTTGCAAACCACTGTACCAGTCAACACGTGGGACACTGACCTTGTCAGAGACACAGGATGAGGTGTCATTGTCCGACTGGTCTTCATCCTCTTCTGGCATAGCTGGGCTTTCTGTCAAGCGGAGAGGAGAGGAAAGGAAAGAAAGAGTTATTGCTCACGGCAGCGGCGGTTTCCGCTTTGTGAATAACCATTCGCCAATGTGCAAATTTATCCGTAGAATACAACTGAAATGATTTGCTGAAAATTTTTTTTTTTTTAAAAAGTCAATTTGCACCATGTATTTTAGGACTGTTTCTGTTATGTCTTGAGTCTCTTTTACAGCTTCCGATTGAAAATAATGGCACAAGTTGCATATATACTCGATGATTGGGAGCGTTTTTAAGAACTTGTTATACCGTCAGCCTCCTCCTGAAGCTGGGCTTCTCTCTCCAGTCTATGACGGAGGAGTTCCTGCTGCTTAGCCAGATACTGTTGGATGAAGCTATTCTGGCTCATCTCCTCACCGATCTGCAACAAAAATAAAGAATATTTCTGCCGTGTGCAATTCCAACACCAAAGAGTTGTCAATAGGATGCTTTTAAAAAGGAACCGAGAGAGTGAAATGGGCACTACCTGAGAGTTTGGCTGCAGTCCACTGTGAGAGGTGGATGACTTTTGCAAGTTCTCCAGCATCAGTGCCTGCGCGGAATAGCAAAATGCAATCAGACAAACATGGAATCATTTTTTTCACTTAAGTTTTACTGGCCTAGATGAGTTGTAATATTTACTGTAATTATGACTTTACCACAGTGTTTACACAGGTTAGTAATTGCGGCACAGCAACCAAAAAAAAAAAAGGAAGCGGGCGTGCCGAGTACTTACTGTTTTCAATGTGATTGCTTTGTAATGAAGTTATACTTGAGGTTTTTTTTCAACAAATATTTTATGTAATTATAATTAACCATACGTTAGTGGCAAAGAGTTTTGTATTTGCTTGCTTACTGCCGTTTGAACTCATTTTGAATTTCCTTGTGTTACAATTAAGACTTAGAAGCGTTTTCCATAAAAATATGTTAGTGATAAACAAACAGGTCGTCATGGAGCACAAGAAGGCGCACTCGTTACCGCTTTACTTGCTGTTTTTTTTTTAATTGATTGATTAATATCTATGGTGCAGCATAGCAAGTGTTTCATTCCAAGTTTTACTGGAAGTATGGTTTCACTCCGGAGCTAGCATAGGTTAGCCATACAGTAAAAGTAACCTTATAATGCTGCGCTCATGTACTGTCGTACTTAAAGCCGTTTTTTGGGGGGATGGCCTCGCAATGTTTTTTCAAACTAATATTTACTGTAATCATGACTTTCATAATGAGTTATCGTAGACTCGTGACAGACAACAGCGAAGTCCGATTATTGTCCAAATTCGGGTTACATGTCACCGCAGGAACGGAGCTGCATCGTAAACCGAGGAGCCCACGTCACAAGCTGTGTACAGAAGAAAGTGTCCGTCGTGCGCGGTAAGGTGGCGGTAATTCGAGTCCACATGTCAACCGAGCTCGACGGCCTTGATACGGCCGCAGGCTTTTGTGGCAGAGATGACAACAAACATGACAACGCGGGCCCACACGACACGAGTGGTTATTGATTTCGTTTCTTTGTTTTTGTATTTTCTTTATGGGGGGAGTCCATGGAGAGCGGTTGTTGGGTCGCTTCCTCCCGGTCAGGCCTCCAATTGACAGGTGCACACTCCAACTGTGCAACACGGTGCCCCACAACTCGTTGCCAATTCAGTCGCGAAGCGAGGCTCACTGTTAGCTTAGCCGTCCGGGCGACGTCCACCATTACAGTTGACCGTTGCAAATGTTAATGTGTACTGTTTGGTACCGCCGCGACTTGCTAGCCTCTTCCCGCTTCCGAGCCGACATTCACCGTTAAGACCCTACGGCCCCCCTTTTCCTCCTCCGCCTGTCTCTTCCTCCTGCTAGAAAACTTGTCTACACTCAATACTAGGCGCCCCCCCACCCACAAAAAAAAAAAAAACAGTCACTAAACTCACCCCCTTCAGTCGCTGGATGAGTTTGTTCTTCGCCCCGCTCTTAGACAGGTTTCTCTTCTCCAGCGCGGCTTTCAAATCCGCGACTCGGAGGGATTGTAAAGGCTGTCCATCAAGCGTAATATCCTCGTCCGCCATCTTGTCCAAAGTACTCCCGACAAGCTTCGTTTCGGCTGACGCTCGGCCTCATAGTTCGGCACTTTCCGGAAAACTTCGGTGCGGCCCGATTGACAGTTCAAGGGCGAACAGTTACCGACGAGCGTCGTCACGGATGCCACTCGGCATCGTAGTTCGGTAATTTCCGGAGAACCAGGCACGCCCGAGTGATTTAACGATTTTGTCCACAGTTGAGTCCAATTGATGAGCGCTCAGCGTCGTGATTCGGCAGTTTCCGGAAAACTTCAGCACGTCCTATTGACATTTCAAGTCCAGTACAATCCAATACAATAATACCATAATTTAAGTTAAATTCGTTCTGTGACCAACTGAATTTTTACATCAAATGAATTCTCCCCATAAAAATGAATTCAAATACCAATAATCTATTCCAGCACCCCAAAATCTTTTTGGGGTGTTTTAACAATGGAAAAATAGCACCGTGTTGTAAAATAATACAATAAAATATAACGGAAAGACATAAGTAAGCTGGTTTTAAAAAGTGAAAGACAAAAGTTACACACACTATAATTCAGGTGAGTTGGTGTGCCTTTAAGGGGCGTGGCTTAGCCATCCCACTCTTCTGAATGCTTGCAAGGGTTTTCATTTCGACTTTGACTGTTTGTCCCTGTAGATGAATACAAGGCACCATCTGCAAAGTGTCTCGAGCACTCAAATTTTGTCTCTCAACAAAAAGTTACCATAAATTTGTGTGATACCCGTGAGTCAGTGAATGTATAACTGTACGGTATTTTAACAGCAATAAAGTAACACTGTATTATTGCAAAAAAAAAAACTATTTGTTTATTCTGGACTGGAATACAAGGCAAGACATTACATAGTGTTCAAAAGTGAAGCTGTGTAGTTCTGTACTGTATTGCTAGAATTCAGCAAACAGGGATGAGTTCACGAGTGTAAAAAACTTGCATTGAACAACATGAACAAGAACTGGTATATTTTTCCAAGAAAAATTAAGGGGTGGGAGGGGGGACACTTTCTTGAAAATAGTTCAAAAACCTTTTAGGTCCATGGGTGCCCCTCATAATCCTCACACCAATCAAACATAACGTGTATGATATAAATTATTTTAGTAACATTACACCCTAAATATCCATAACCTTTGTTTGTTTTTTAAGGAACTGAACCAAATACCACTGAATTCAACAGTCCTTCATTGTCGCAAGCTGACGTGCACTACTGACACTAACAACATGGCTGCGACCAGAGGAAGAGCTGCTTTACAAATGCACCCCGTTGAGCGACCGCTTTTACAATCGCTGCGATACAGCACCGAACCAAATCACACAAAAATGTGCATGACAAAGTCAAGCATAGTAAAGCTATGAATAGGGAAAAAAAACAACAACATAGAAATGATCATAATAAATATAAAGGTTACTTGCTTCTCTTCAAACTCGTTATAGGTGTAGTTTCCATTAATACTTCAAACATCCACAAGGTGACACTACAGCAGAGAAAATGGGACAGGAAGGTTCCTCAAAGCATGCTTGGAAGGATGAGGTACATAATTATGGTGTGTCAATATGTTCCCAATTTGGACAAAGTAACACTTGATTAGTAGCCACGGCAAACGGCTTGATGATGGTCCGGCTTTGTAGAACATAGATGAAACATGGGCACAGTCCACCGTTGAGTGCCACATTTTAAAAAAAACAAACAAAAACAAAAAGCAAGCATCGGCGACATGCATGTAACGTGTAGTGACAGGTAAACTTGTTCGACGGGTTTCACATGCACGCTGTTGTGAGACTGAGGCAAAAGAGAAGCGATTTTACAAAAAAAAAAAAGGCAGGATGGTTGGAAGGGTGGATGGTCAGATTGAAGGATACTCAGGCAGTATGAAGGGAAGTAAACCAAAGAAAAAAGGCTGAAATTTGGAAGGAAGGATGTCAGAATAGAGTGAAAGAAAGAAAAGAGAAAGTTAGGATGGAAGGCGGGAAACGGATATAAGCAGGACTGAAAGAAAGAACAGATCATGGAAGGAAAAACAATCGTCTGAATGGAAAGATGGTTGGAAGCAAGGTAGAAAGAGGAATAAAAGGATGCAAGGAAAGGAAGAAGGACTGTGGGAATAATGTAAGGATAAAAGGAAGGAACAAAACATGGATGAGTGAAAGGAAGGGAGGGAGTGAAAAACCTGCAAGGAGAAATGAAAGGAAGGACAGGTTAGAATGAAAGAAAGGAAACGAGGCTAGGATGTATGCAAGGAAATCAGGGCGGCTGAAAGAATGGAAAGGAGGGAGGAAGAATGGAGGGCAAGACATGAGGATGGAGAAAAGGATTGAAGGAAGGATGCTAGGAATGAGACATGGATGTGCGAAAGGAAGAATGGAGGTTTGAATAATTGAAAGATGAAAGCAACGTAGGACAGAAGGGGGTGAGGAAGAAAGGCTGGGAGGAAGGATTGTTGCAAGGTAGAATGGAAAGAAAGAAGGCAGGCAGGCAGAATTGAAGCCAGGATGGATAAAGGAATGCCGGCAAGATGATTATGAAAGACTGAAAAAAAGGGAGAAGGAAGGAAGAGATGGAGGAACCAAGGATTGGACAAACCAGAAGGAGGAGAAAGAAGAATGACAGGCAGGAAGAACAAAAGGACGGTAGCAAGAAAGGGAGCAAAAAGACGACATGTCCATGTGACTAACTGTCAGAAAACAGGTCATAACACGTACAGACGGGTCAACTCGGTTCACGGGCTTTGCTGTTCTGTGATCGTGGGAAAGAGTAGCAGCCCGGGAGCAATTCGTCCCCCTGACTTGTTCACGCGACGGGAATTCTTGTCGGGCAGGAAGTGTCACGCGAAGTGTGCCGGGATGGAGAACTGCACAGCGTCTCGCGCAAACACGACATCCGAGCGCAGGCCGGGTGAGTCTGGCCGGCTGGGGACCGGTGCCAACAGACCAACTTTGGGGTACCGCAGGTTAAAAAGTAGACCAAAGCCAGAATGTAAATGTTTCCTTCTGTGCTATATTTAGCGGAGGAGGCGGGAGCAAGTCACATCCAGGATCTCATAAAAGTGAGTCTTTTTGTGGGGCAACGACATTTTCACTTCGGGGTGTGCTCTCTTTTGTTGCCAGCAATTTCAACATGGACAGGAATTAACAGCACATTTACTTCCAGCTAGACAAGCTCCACATTGCCCGCTTCATATCGTCGCTTCAGACTCGTCCCGCGAAAAGAAAATGTGAAGGGGGTGCTCACTTTTGTGAGATACCGTAAGCGCAAGTCAAGTAAGTCTTCAACCTTCACGTGTGTCAATCCGAGTGGCTGCAAAATTTCAAGCCAGTTGAGTCACGTCAAAAGCATATCCCAGAATTCTACAGATGGAGCGAGTATCAATCCACGAGCTTCAAGACAACTTTCCTTCGTATTGGCAGATCGTTCTGCTTGAATTGAGGATTGTACTCCTCATTTCATGACTGTTTTAATTGTTATTTTGGTTTTTTTTTCAGACCGGATTTGAGCGTGCGCTTCACGTCACAGCTTACGGCTAGGTTGTGCTACGTAGCATCGCTTTTCTTCACACAAAACAAATGTGAGTCGACCTGAAAACTGCAGATTCCTGAATGTAAACAGACTCGTCAGGTCGAGTCGTTCAAGCCTAACGGAGTTGTTCATAAACTTCAGTCTCCCCCACCTCTGATACTTAAAATCGGTAGGGAACGATAGATTTGAAAGCAAAGCTCCAAAGAGCAGCTTCTGGTCCTTGATAAGTTAAGACGCACAAGAGGGGAAAGGGCAAAGTCGAGCCACGAAACTGAAGATAACAACCGCCCCCCCCAAAAAAGTGTCATCACAAAATAAGGCATTTTCCAAGAGAGAGAGAGAAAGACGGCGTGTGGCGTCAACAAGGCTTTTCCCGCGGCCGTTCCAAAACATCACGAGGAGATCTCGGCCAGGCGCTGGAGCAGAGCGGAGAAGCCGGCGGCCTGCTGAGAGAGCTCGGCCACCCGGTCCACCATCTCCTGAGACGCCGACACCGACGGGTAGTTTTGCGCCGCGCCCTTTGTCGCCACGACCACCGCCTTCAAGGCCTGGCAAAGGCGACCCCCGGAGGTTGTGATCTGGAAAGGGAGAGGAGAGGGCCGTCACTAAACAACTCCTGCACATGGCAAAGTTTTTCTTATGGAATAAGGGAGACTACGTTGTGGAAAGTTGATGGAAGGAAGGAAGATGCAAAAAGGGTTGAAGAAGGACTGAAAGGACACGAGGAAGCAAACAAGAATCTAAGAAGGTGGAAAGAAGGATGGAAGGAAAGAAGGAAGAGTGCATGAAGGAAGGAACAAAAGAGACAAGGAGGCGAGGAATAAAGCAAATCCGGAAGACATGAATAGGAACGAAGAAAATGTGCAAAACTGGAAGAAGGACAGAAGGAAGTCCGAAGGAACCAAGAAAGGCAACAAGCGGCGACAGCTCGAAATGAAAGGAGGAGGAATGGAAAGACGGCGAGCGGGAAAAAGGATCCCCCGTGCGGCCGCCGCCGGCAGAGACGAAGCACCTTGGCGCGGAGGTCGCCGGAGGTGAGGAGGCGGGAGAGCGTGTCGCCGATGAACACCAGCTTGTGCGCCGTCACGATGAGGCTCTTGCCGCGCGCCACGAAGATGCGCGGCGGCTGGTTGCCCCGCACGCTGGTGAAGAGCACGTCGATGGCGTCGGCCAGGCAGGACAGGTGAGCGAGGCTCTGCGACGAGTAGAAGCACAGCAGCTCCGAATCCTCCAGCGACAGGGACACCGGCAGCGGAGGCGACGGCGTCAGCTGAAAGGAACGTTTGGACAAAACGTGAGATTTCGATTCGCAGCGACTGTGCGACGGCAAAATCTGCTGGAAACAAATAAATTCGAACGGCACCCGGCCGGGAGTCGCAGACAAGCGCAATTAGATACAGTACGTCAGTCGACGTCTGTTGAAGGACTCCTTGTCTTTGGCTTGTTGTCGTGCACACCGCCGTCCGATGTGAGGCCGGATTGTTACCAAAAACAAGTGAGCTCTTGTTGGCTCGCCGGGGCGCAACCGAGGACTTGAGCGAGCGGGCCCAAAACGCAGACATCGGTCTCCCAGAGGAGACTGGATAACAAAACGACACTTGCGAACTGTGTCTCAAACACCCGTGACATCTTTATATTGACAGACGGTGCCTGGTGATTTCACCAGAAAAAAAACCCAAAACGTTTTCACAGGATGGTCGGTAAGATCACCAATGCGCTGGACTCCAGAGCAAGGTTATTTACTCCATATATTAAAAAAAATTAATAAATAAACAAAGCTAAAATGAAGTATTTTCAAAACATAAAAAAACGTCTAACTTACAAACCTGCTCTAAAAATGGATTAAAACTAAAAGAAAAAACAAACATGCCAAAACTAGATAAAAACTAACTAGAATGAAGAATCCTAAACTGTGACCCTGTTCCTGATCGAGTGTTTTATTGGTAAACTGATATGACTCATCTGCCAGTGATTCCAGGCCACTTGGTCGTGAGAGCTCATCAGGTGGAAAATGATGCCATCTCACTCACCGGCTCAGATTTGTGATGACAAAGTGTGCCAGCCAACATAGAAATGCTTGTGCGCAAGATAGTCTCGTCCACATTAATGCCCAGGAAAGGTGAAGGAAAACAGCAGGGACAACTTACCCTCGGCTCTGAGGTGATCGTTTGTCCGTTCTGAGCCAGGGGGAGCTCCGGTTTTCCCTACATGGGGAGAGAAAACAAACAACGGCATGAATAACAAGGGAAAAGGAAAAATTTAAATCACTCCATGTGTATCAAGGTTAACAAAAAATAATAGAAACACTGCAACTAACATTGAAAAAAGGTTTTAGTTAACAAAATAGAAACCAGAGTGTTGGAAAAAAAGCAACTAATTGAAACCACATTTAACGTTTATGAAGCTAACTATAGCTGTTTTCGATTTTGCTTTTGGAGTTTATTTTACATGTATGTAGTCGTTTGGGAATGGTATTACAAAAACTGTTTTTTAAAAATCTTGCACTCAGCAAACATTCCACACACACACACATCAGAAGTAACCTCAGTCAAAATAAAATAAAAGTAAAGTATCGTGAAGATTGTTTTAACCCCGGTGCGTAGAAAAAAAAAACTGACCTGCAACTTCACATATCCAACACTGTCACCATTAGGGACCAGGGCCGGGACGGGTGTCAAGCCAATCCCGGCGTATTCGTTGCTCGGATCTTCTTCTCCGTTGCTGTGGCCGACTGCGAGTGTCACCGTGGCCAAGGCGGGAGGCACGGGGAAGGCCGGCTGAGGAGTCGGGGGCAGAGGCCTTTCTTGAATCCAGCTGCTCTTCCGGGAGCCCATTCCGCCTCCGGGTGACTTGCCGTCCAATACCGGGAGAGCGGGCAGCGGCCTGCGGGACAAAGACTCCTGGGAAGGCAGTCGGGGGCGACCCTGAGACTGCAAGAGGAGGGCGCTTTCCTCCAGGGAGCGCTGGACCAGGGAAAGGAGACCTTCCGACGGAGGGGCACCGCCGATGGCCGATAACGCGGGCAGCAGGTCCGAGAGGCGGGCCCAAGCCTGCTGAAGGGGCGGGGGAGGGTCCCCGGAGTGGCTGGCTTTCCACGTGGACAGGATTTCGGCGAGCGACGTGGCCAGATCCCGAGACAACAGAGCGGTGGGCGAGCAGGAAGTGGCGCTCAGCACGGCGTGGACAAGGCTGGAGAGCGAGGCCCTCCACTGGACGTCCCCGGACCCGTTGCTGGACACGGAGAGACGGCGAGTGGAGGTGGAGGAAGACGACGACGAGTGGGGAAGGGCGTCCGCGTTCAGGGCGGGCATGTCGTAGACCCCGCAGTCAGGGGAGTCCCGCTGCTGGTCACCTGCGCTTGCTCGCTTTTCGGAGCTTGCGACGCAGTAAGTTTGACCGTTCTGGCTCGCCTCCTCCCCGGAAAGGCTGGGACCCCCAGGCACGCCCGGAAGAGTGGGCACACTGTAGACGTCGTCCGTGTCGGCCGGTGCGGCGGTGCCTGGTTGGGCTTCTGATGTGGAGCCGTTCAGCGTTATGGTGGGGACGTCATACACCTGCAAGTGGAAATGACGCATTGGTTAGCATCCATTTTCTAAGGCCGCTTAACCTCACCGCAGTATATGAGGGAGTGAACCGAACAGGACTTTTAAATGTGTACGCCTTCAATGAAGTAAGAACCTCTGGGAACCCCCCCGCACAGATGCATCAAAGTGTCTCCAACCACCAAATGAAGGCCAGGATATACTTAGGCGCTCCAACATCCTTGTGTCAGCGCATATGCAGTAAGTGGAGCAAAACAATCCCAACAGCTGGCACGCACATTCAAGGAGCATGAAAGCGAGACCACTGTTGCTGTGGCCTTGGCCCGGCCCTAACAGATGGGCGTGACCGGGAGAAAATAGCAGCGGCACTTGGACCGGATAGACAGGCTACCACAGCGGGTCGAGACAGGTGTGGCCTCGCCTCGGGGGCCGAGGGGGGAACCAAAAAGGGGACTCTGGGTGGGGGTGGTGGGGAAGTGGCTTGACAGCATTTTGAAATTCAGTCCAGGAAGGTGCACTTGTACTGAGTTGATTCACCCCCCCCCAAAAAAAAAATCCCCGGGGCCACAAGCACTACTTTTTACTCCTCAATATATTTCCTTGACAGAAGATACCATAACATGGCATCGAATATTACTTTGGCCTAAGTACAATTCGTGGTTTCAGAATATATTTTAAATGCTGTGAGCTTATTTGTTCGGCGCCTGGGGAAAACACTGCTCGAGACAGTTTCTCAAGCAGCTCAAGCAACCACCTTCGACAAAGAATGCCAAACAAAAAAGATGTTATCACCTCCGTCTCCGAGTCAACATGTGGGGGGACGGTGCGAGGCGTGTCATAGATGCCGTCGCCGCCGTTGCTGAGGACCGTTGGCGTGGCGCGCTGCCACCGGCTGCTGGGTGGTGTGTCGTATACCTATCAACCACACACACACACACACACACACACACACACACACACACACACACACACACACACACACACACACACACACAAAAAAGAAAAAAATCTGAATGAGGATAGAGTGAATATATATAATATATAACCTTTTAACTGTTAAAACACAACTTTTTAAACACATTTTTCAAACCCAATTCCAATGAAGTTGGGACTTGGTGTCAAGCATACATCAGAACAGAAGACAATGATTTCCAAATCGTGTTCAACCTCTATTTCATTGAATTCACTACAAAGATGAGCTATGTCATGTTCAAACTGATTTAAAAAAAAAAAAGCTTGCATAGGTGGCCAAAAAGACAGAGACAATTGAGGAATGCTCATCAAACACCTGTTTGGAACATCCCACAGGTGAAGAGGCTAACTGGGAACAGGCGGGTGCTTCCCTGGATTGCTCAGTCATTCACAAGCAAAGATGAGGCGAGGTTAACCTATTTGTCAACAAGTGCATGAGAAAATAGTCATTGTATTCCGTTTTTATTTACGTTCAATGCCACGTCCCAACTTCATCAGAATTGGCATTGGAAATATACTTCAAGAAAAAAAAAATGTCATCTTAAAATGTATGTAAAATAGTTTGGTTAAGTGATGTGTCCTGTGATGGCAGTTACGCCTCAGGTACAGAGTTCAACAGCAAGGTTGACGTGATGAGAGGGAATGGAAATAAGCATGAAATACTCGACGCAAACCTGGTCGTTCACAGGATCTGCATAATCTTGGATTTCCGCTTTGCTGTTGTGTGCGCTGCCGCCTTTCTCCGGGTCCTGACTCGTCTGCCTGTTCACCTCGTGTGCTTGAGATCCCGGGTTGGGGGCCACAGCGCAATCACCTGACATAGGTGCCGACAGCTGCCCGTCTTTCCGCGTGACTCCTCGCACGGGGGGAGCCGGCGGTGGGGGCTTCCGGGTGAAATTCGGTGACCCGGGAACTCGAGGGTGGGCGGCTCGAACCAGCAAAGGGGACCCCCGGGGGCAGGCGAGCCCCGGTTTGCCTCTGGCTACAGCAGGGTTGGATGACGGGCCCTTTAGGAGGGGCCTAGGAGGCGCTTGGGCGGGGGACGATAAAGTTCTTTGAAGGCTGACCGCCACAGAAGAGGGGGTTTGGTACATCCCAGGAATGTCCTGACCCACTTTCGACTGATGAGTTCCGCTGACTGATGAGGGGCCATGAGGGCAGGCGGCCAGAACTCCTCCCGTTGGGGTTTGGTAAACATCCTCACCGGCAAGTGGTGTTCCTTTTGGCACCAAGTAACAGTCATCAGAGGGTCCCGTGGTTAGCGTTTCCCGAGGGACCAGATATGTGGTGTCCTCGGAATCATCATCCACTCTTGCAACTCCGCTTGGGGAGAGGTAGACAGACTCTGGAGCCATTTGCGCTCCCGGCTGCCGGGCATGCTGAGCGGATGAGGGCAGGGGGCTCACCGGAGTCTGATAGAGAGCTCCGCTCATATCCATGCCCCGTCCTCTTAAAGAAGGGGAGCGTGGGCGACTTGCAACTCCGATTTCCCAGTCGGGCCTGGGTCGGGATCCGGAACTGGAGTGTGAGCGCGGACGACCGACGTCCGCCTTGCGAAGCTCACCAGGTCTTGATGCCGTTCCGTCTCCTCTGCTTTCGCCCGCGGCCGGTGGGGAGCGGTACACGGCCTCTGCGTCGTCCACGCTACCGCGCAACAGCGGTGGACCGGGGGACAAGTACACGGAGTCCGAGCTGGGGGCCGGAGCGGTCTGGAGGAGGCGCAGACGATTGGCCGGAGCGATGCCCTGACGGCCGTGCAGGGAGCAGAGCCACCAGCCGGGCCCGCCGCTCTGCTCCTGCTCCAAAACCATCAGGATGTCCCCCTTCCTGAAAGCCAGTTCCTCTGGGCTCTCTGCCGTGTTGTCAAAGAGCGCCTTCGCCAAAACCGTCTGAGGGAGAGGGGGACACATATTAAAACGCGATCCAAAAAACCCAACAGGTTTTTAAGTCTTATTTCAGACGGGCAAGACAAACTGACATTTGTGCATCCCGAACAACAAGTACATTGATGGCAATGCTAAACAGCTCGGTTGTTCAGGGCTTGAATACAAGAGAAGAGGGACGTTGTCGTCCGTGACTTGAGAGGAATAATGGACTCAAGTTCCACCCATCCATTTTTTATTGTCCCAAGTCTCAGTGGTCTTTGTAGGAGAGGTGAGGTACACCCTGGACTGGTCGCCAGCCAATCTCAGGGCATGTATGCACATTCAGGCTCATATTATGACTGACGGACAGTTTTGAGTCATTCTTACACCTAACAAGTAAGAATCAGGAATCTAGAGAAACTCATGCAAGCACATCAACAAGACCCGAGAAGGCCAGAATATATTCCAAGTCCAATCATCTGAACGGTACGGCGGCCACTTGCCCACCATTGCGGCTGGACTCAAGTGAAAATATTAAACCATGCAGTGAACATGAAGTGCCAAATAAGGGTCAGTGGTCAAATGGACAGAGCGGCTTAATGGACATGAGCGGGATGAGAACAGGGGGAATGAGGGAATGGGGGATGAGAGTCACATCTGTCCCTTGCCGTTTGGAGCTTAATTGCCAACCCACTAGCCCCCTCCTTTCATTTTAAAGCCAAACCCCCCTGGGGACCAATGCCATGTGGGATCTCACAGCCAAAATAGAAGATCCACAAAAACAGCCCGGCACCGACTCAATGTAAAGACGTTTGGATACTTACAGAAACAGACATGGCTGTTAAGTTGCGAGGCTTATTGGGTTTCGGTGAACGTCGAACTCGAGTGTTCCGGTCGGTCAACGGGGTCCATTCAGCTCACATCGTCTCTGCCTTGTGAATCAGAAACGCTGGGCCTGTGAGTCGTTCGGAACCGTTACTTGCAGCACACATTTGTCGAAATCATACCGACACGAAGGCGACTGGGCACCACCTGTCCCGTCATTCCACGCCCCACTAACGTTAGAAGCTAATCCTTGTTTAGCATCCGGTCCAGCGTTCAAATGATATCCGAATTCGTCGTTTGCGCCACTAGATAAATGTTAAATGTCGTCCCCTTTGGGATGTAATTCATTTTCCGCGGCCTAGGTCGCGAACATTGGCGACTCTAAAACGCTGGTTCTCTTCAGCATTTTCCACACAAAGGAGGTAAAAACCATTCGAGGTTTGCTAGCTGTGGCGTAAAAATAAAATAACTGAAAACAAGCACGCACATTACCTTCCTTGCTCGAATTCGCCGGTAAACTCCACATAGGCTTTCAGACATAGATGAGGTAAAAGCGCTTTTCTCAAGCGTAAAAAACCAGTGCCCATTGGCGTTCCATCATTTTCTGCCGATGACAACATAATGATCTCCGCCTTCTCCTACGTGAACGTATTTTGGTCGCTCTACAAAAGACACGGAAGGATTGTGGCCCAGCTCCCAAATGCAACGAATGCAATCCAGTTACTTGTGAGATTGCATAGCTCGGCCACTCGCTCGCTCTCTGATTGGCTCCTTGCCGTGAGTTGCGTTTAATAGCTCGATACAAATAGCTGGAAATCAGACGATGGCAATTAAACTAAAATCGACAACTTTATCACAGAATAGAATGAGTGACAACGTGAATTTAAAGCAAGTCTAAATACCCAAACGAACCAAACCGATAGCCACTGTAAGCTTTTACTGTGGAAGTTCGTTTTTTTTTTAACCCGGAAGAACAACAGTAGTTCCAGTTCACGGAGTGCAGTGAGTCGAAAGGTCTTGACTTTTTTTATTATTATTTCACCGAATGCATAATTTGTCTTCGAATTGCTGCTTTAGTTTATGTTGAATTGTGACAATATAACGCAACTGCTAACTAGTGCGCTAAGATGTCTTCAAAAGCTTAAAGCATGTTTTTGCCACACAGCTGGCAATTAAACGTCACACTGGAAGCAGTGGCGGCCAAAAGTTGTTTGGGCCCCAAGGCGAAGTTGAATTTGGGCGGGGGGGGGGGGGGGACCCCTTTACTACTGCAGGACTACAAACAGTTCAAGTGTTACGCTCAGTGGTGGACAGTCAGGACTAAGCCTCATTAAAAGATCTGACATACAACCTAAGTTATGCATTATATGAGCAATGATATTGCATTAATATATTTGCTGTTTTGTAGCGTTTATATTAGCTGTACTGCTTTTGTGTATATTTCTGATTTTTTTTCCCAATCAGATTTCAGCTTTTGTGTGTTGCCACGTCAATTTAATGTGATGTTTTAACATTTTAACAGCAGTGGCGTTTCTTCACCCAATCGTGATTTTAAATTTGCAAAGCAACTGGCCCACGGTGACGTCAGCTTTTTACATCCTCTGATCAGTTAGGCAGAGCAAAACGTGGTTTCTATTATCAAGTTTCAGTTCAACAAAAACAGTGCTTTGTCACTATCCTGTTGTCATGGAACTATGTTAAAGTGAGTTGAGTTTGAGTGGGACAAAAACAGTGCTTTGATGCCATTCTTAGCATGCATAATCATTTTTAAACCTTTTTATATCAGAATTACTCTTGGATTCTTGCATCGCTGATTTCACCTCCTTGTCCTGTTTGTGACCCCACAGGTGATGTTGAGGGTTGCCTTCAGACGCCTTTCGACCACTCCTGTCACAGGGCAAAGAAGCATGTCTCAGAGTAGTCTTGCTGGGAAAGTGGCCATCGTCACGGCCTCGACGGCTGGGTAAGAATCTTGTTTTGCCTTTCAAAGGAAGGAAGAGACCTCTCACAACGCGTTTCCTTCAGCATCGGCTTAGCCGCTGCCTACGCCCTGGGCAAGAGGGGGGCCCACGTGGTGGTGAGCAGCAGGCGGCAGGCCGGCGTGGACAAAGCCGTGGCCCTGCTCAAGAGCCAGGACATCCAGGTCACCGGCACAACGTGTAATGTCGGCAACCAAGGCGACCGAGAAAGGCTGCTTCAGACGGTGGAAAAAAAGCGCAGGGCTGTGAATACTTTCAAGATGAAATGGAAATCTTATCGTGCTTTTCATGCAGACTCTGGATCAGTGCGGCGGCGTTGACATCCTGGTGTCAAACGCGGCGGTGAACCCTTTCTTTGGAAACCTCATGGACACCACGGAGGAAGTTTGGGACAAGGTTTGTTCCAGAATGGACTTTTATTTTTAAACCCCCCCCCGCCCACCCCCAATTAACTGCTGTCTCGTCATTTTCAGGTGATGTCCGTCAATGTAAAAGCGGCCTTCCTCATGACCAAGTTGGTGGTACCACATATAGCAAAGAGGGGGTGAGTTACAAGTCAAAATAATTAGAATAATTTCAAGAAAGCATCAATATGATCAAGAATCATACTCGGTTTGTTGCATTGATTATATATATATTTTTTTACATCTATTTAAATTTGCATACATTTGTGAAAATGCTCATTGATTTATTGTAGATAAACAAATAATTATTATAATAATAAATCATAAATTAATTATAATATTTTTTGGGGGAAACCTTTCCATAAAATATTTTTAAAATGTGATTTAAACAATTTCACATTTTTTCTCTTCGCTTCCCTTTCATCATTAAAAACAACAAGCATGAATTCTTCAGGTAAATGGTTGGTTAGCTGAGTACATTAATGCAGAATAAACAAGCTCAATTCATCATTAAAATAAACTAATTGAGTTGATTGCACATTTTAATACATTTTTATGGAATTCAATTACACAAAATTACCCAACAAATCAATAAAAAATACATCTTACATAAAATACAAACTTAAGCACAATGAAAATGTTGTAGCCACAGCAGTTGACGTTTTACTTTGTTATGTTTTATGTTGATTTGTCTAACTTGGGGGGGGGGGGAAAGATTGGCCTTTTTTTTTTAAATTTTTTTTTTTTTTTATGGGAGTGATGTCTTATGTTGTAATGTGTATAAATAAAGATCCTCCAAAATGTTGTGCTTCATTTAGAGGGGGAAATGTCGTGTTCGTGTCGTCTGTGGCTGCCTACCAACCAATGCAGGTCCGACCATCAACACAAATGACCAGAAGCCTCTTTTTGCAAGATCGTATTCTGACTTTTTTTTTTTTTTTTTTGTGGGGCTCGGGGGTTGCCGTTTCTGCAGGGCTTGGGTGCGTACAGCGTGAGTAAGACGGCCTTGGTGAGTCTGACCCGCGCGCTGGCCCCCGAGCTGGCGCAGAGCAACATCAGGGTGAACTGCGTGGCCCCCGGCATCATCAAAACCCATTTCAGCACCCCGGTGAGATGTACACTTCTGACTTCCAGAATGTTTTTTTCTTTGCGCATTTGTCTTTTGGACTTAAATTATTGCCATGATTAGACAAATTATATAAGTGTATCTTGACTCGCGAGTCGCGTCTGGACGATTTAGTCCGATGAAATTAGGTCTTTTCAAATCTGTAAAAATCGGCCCATTTTTTTTTGGGGGGGGGGGGGTCTACATATTAACACGACAACATAAATACAATGACATTCAACCCCTTCGCCTTTTTTTCTCTGTTGTAAAGTTTAACAAATATTCAAGAACAAAATATTGTAAAACAGTCACAGCCTGTCAGGGTGGGATGCCCACCTCTGATGTTTTTTTTTTTTTGTTAAACCGATCTTCTGATGTACTCATTCACATGAGAAAAACAAACACGACTCATGTGAATGCGAGCTCCAAAATAATTTCATCACATGGCGCAGTGTTTACAGAAGTAAATATGGTGCTGTGTAAATGGGCTCATTTTAACATCTCATATCGCCAGAGTACGGGAGGAGGTAGAACTATTTAGGAGATATGGGGCAACGCCCTTCCATCTTCTCATTTTAATGGAGACAGTTTGTCTTTAATTTAATCCCACTTGAAACATGTATTATAAAGTGGACGTTTGGGGGGACCTTTGGAATTAACCCGCACAGAGGGTTCATTTATTACGTGCAGTGATGCTGTGACATGATCTTGAGGAGATGTGATCAATGAGACGAGGCAATCGAAAAGCCTTGGCCCATTTCCCCCAAAATATTTCTACCTCTTCCCGCATAGCTCCTCTGTAGATAGGAGATGATAAAAAGCCGCCGGGCCATATTGATTTCCATAAACACGATATTTTGCGTAACTTTGTCTCGTCTTCTGCGCATTCGGGACACATTTGGTTCGTACAAGCCAGACAGACTGAGGTTGCATTCAATATGTAAATGTGATCAATTACCCTCCCCCAAAAAATCCAAATTGAGCATGGAGACCTGCAGCCTGAACATAGCCTTTCGGCGGGGCTGAACTGTTTAATGAAGGAGAAGCTGCTCAAAGTGAGGAAGGCAAAACAATAACGAGTGAAGATTAAGTTCAGAAAAAAAGTAATTCTATTTATTACTGTGCATTATTTTTCTTATTAGTTGTGGCAAAATGACGACATCATGGATGACTTCAAAAAGCAGATGTGCATCAAAAGGTACGGTTCACCTCCCGTTCACGTGTTAAAACCCGTATCTCGCCACGTGAACGTGCAGGTTTTTTTTTTTTTTTTGTCCCCATCTCCAGAGTTGGCGAAGCGGATGAGATCGGGGGAGTGGTGGCCTTTCTGTGCACAGAGGAGGCTTCGTACATCACGGGTGAAACGATCGCAGCGACTGGGGGGATGGGTGGTCGACTGTAATTCCTTGAGGAGCAAAACCATCACTAAATTACACCTTCCAGATATTGTTTCCTTGTTACATTTGGAATAGCCACTGTAGGACTGCAGATATCCTTTTTTTTTTGTTTGTTTTTTGGTGGGGGAGGTGGATTGAGTATTCTCCTGATTAATCAGATTCAAATAGATCTTTCACTATTAAACACAATATCATGTTTATATGAGATAAAAGTACATTTGCCTTTTTGTGATCAGCATCCTCAAGTAAGTAAGTAGTGGTTTTAGAATGTGGGGCCATGCCTGGTGAGTGACTTGGGTGCCGGTAGAGGTGGCTGCCTGTGTTGGGTCGCGGAAGCTTCTGTATGAATGTGCTTATTTATGATTCTTATTTTTTTAGCATTTGTGCAATAAAGCGATTAATTGTGCCCCAGCGGTTGTGTTGATTCTGGTCACTTGTGTGGACATTACAAAATGATTCCGGTGAAGCATCGAGGCAAAAATTTTGTGTGCCTTTTTCATTTTGTCATCAAATTATTTGAATGATCCGATTAATCATTGCAGCGCAAACACAGTTAAAGTGTGTTTGGCAAGTATTCACAGTGCTTCAATGTTGCCCCCCAGCCTCATTTTGAAAATAATTTTTTGCCCCCCCCCCACACTCATTGCAAAAAAGTAACTGAAGAATTCTTTGTTTTTGTTTTAAATTTGCAATTAATAAGCAAAAGTTCAGTCCAAAACCACCTCCGCATTGTCATTCTGGAGGGCTTAACGTGGAATTATGAGGGGGGGGAATTAATGAATGAATTTTTGGAATAATAAAATGTGCTCTGTCAATGTACTTTGTAAATGAGAAATGGTTGTCAACTGACCTATCCCGTTAAACACAGGTTTAAAAAAAAATAAAATAAAAAATCCCCGGAAACCAAGGACATAAGGCACCAAACATGCAAATGAACAAACTCAGCATTTATTCAGAAACAACAGTTAAGTTATTGGTCATGTGATACTTAAAAGGGAAAGTCAAGTCACAAAATGTCTTTCCAATAATATGTTCTATGCAGCTCCACTCATCTAAACACGGCATTCTGATGACTATTGCATTTGTGGAACATGAATTAATTTATTCTTGTCAAGAAGTTATCTGACTTGACTTCTATTTTACACGGTCAAAGTCATTTTTATCGTTGGCCATCACGTGGCACGGCGCGGTTCCCAGCTTCAAGAATTCCCGTAGGGTGGGGAAATACGTGCCGTGCTTGGTTTTGGAGTAACGCTTCATAAACAGCTGAGAGAGAGGAGAACGGGCTTTTGGAGGAAGGTAAATGTGGACGGGGCGATGCAGAGCGGTGGAAAAAAGTCTTCACTTACCCGCTCAGTGGCCTCGTCCTCGGAATCAGCTACGTAGTCATCGCCGGAAGGGTCCAGCGCTTCTACACATGCACGCAGACGAAACCCAATCAGAAAATTAGGAATGAAAGCAAAAATGCTGACGAAATATGTTAGGATTTAAGTCTAAAATTCACTCCTGGGTTCGTCACTTTGTGTATCAGAAGCATAGCGCTGATATTGAACACCGTGTTGAGTGCTGATGTTGCTTATTGGAAGTACAAAAAAAAAAAAAACCCAGGACCAAGAATACTTCCCTGTAGAACACCACAATCCATATAAAATGTTATGAAACACAGTTTTCTAAAGTGACCACAAAAAAAAAAGTTTCTGACGGGTGCAAGTGAACCCATGACGTCTCCGACAGCAGTGTTATTGAAATGAAAAGTTACGAAATGGGAAAAGAAATGAACATTAAATGCACCACGCAAAATAATCCTCTCAGAGCTGGTAAGAATGACTGACAAAGTAAAAAAATTTAGACAAAAGTTGGAATTGTACTTGGGAGGCCTTTAAAACATGACAGTGACGATAGACTGCTGAGCGCTGAAAACTCAGAAAGTCTCGAAAAGAGCAAGCAAAGTCCACCGAGAAAATGACCAGCTCCGGTTTCAAAAATTGAATGTGGCACTTTCTACCTGCGCTGCTCCACCGTAACGGGGACGACAGGGCACCTCCGCTTACTTCTGTGGGATGATTCCTGTTAAGTAGACACAATAAAATATATAAATACCAGTTAAAACTGGAGATGTCCTCTATTGGTGTTATATATACTGTATAAAGACCATGTTATAAGACACAAAGACCGTGGATAGCATGTTTTTAAATGCAATTGCCCCCCACCAAGTACAGAGCACAAAAACACAGTAATGCTGCCTTCTCACCCCAAAAGGTCCATATATACTGTCTAAAAATGTTTTAATTGTCTGAAAGAATCACTTAAACCAGTGATTTTCAAAAAGTGTGGTATTTGGGCGCATTCTAGTGGGCCTTGAAAGCATCACTTCTCAAATACAGTTCAGTTGTATTTAACATTTTTAGATAAAATTTTCCTATAGTGAGGCTCAGAGTTGATGTTCAAACTGTGGATAATGTTACAGTGACTTGCAATATTATTTTCATAAGCACTTAGACCGACTACGCAACTGTATTTAATGTTGGTCATTATGTTGGTGCTTAAAGTGGTCAAGCCCCCCCTTTTTTTTTTTTTTTTAGGTGGAGTTTGAGAACAACTGGTTTAAACCATGAATACGCCACAAACTACGCTCCAAAATGCTTGAATATTATTTTAACCTCTTTTACATTACCCGCAAAAAAATGCATGCCTACCAGGTGTTTTTTTTTTTGGGGGGGGGGGGGGGTGCTGCATCAAGCCAGGCGAAATTTGGCTGCTCGTGGGCATACGATGCTTGTCTCTCACTTGAGTTGCAGCACATCAATTGGATCACCCGTATCGCCAATATGTGCAAATACTGTACTGCTTGCTTACTCTTTATCGTCATTCATCCTCAGCCCGTCGGAAGACGCTCCTCTTCGACATAGCTCGGAGCGCTGCAGTTTCCGAATCACCACTCTGGGTTGGCGGCGCAGACAGGCCGCCATGCTGGGGCAATACTTTTGGGACGTGACCGTTCCCTCGTCGCTGCCCTCCTGGTTACGGTTACCGTTCCATGCCTTCAAGTTTGTTAGCACGCCGCCATCTTGCTTGGACCTCTTCATTGCTGGCACGTCGTCATTGTCGGGTATCAGACGGCAGACCGCGGGGGCGACGGAGAGCAGTTCGTCTTTTCTCTGTGCGGTCTGATCGCTGGAAGAGGACGACCCGAGGCCTTGTTGCCGATTTGAGGGCACTTTTCCGGATAGTGGTAAAGAGAGGGATGTCAAGGTGGAGTCACTCAAGCTTGGTGAGAGGGATGCTGTTGGGGTTAAAAAAAAAAAAAAAAGACAACAACAAAAAAAAAAACTGATTCATCATGAAAATCTAAGTTTAAACACCTTCAGCAGCAATTCCAGCTTCACTTCTGAGAACTGAAGTTTGTTTCGACATTATTTAAAACAACTACAGCTTTATCCATTGAGCTTAATGCTAACAAACACATAAAATGCCAACAACAGGCTAACGAATAGCATCAGTGTTGCTGTATTGTTTCCCTTTAAGCAATGGATATTTGACGCTACAATACTCACAGGCATAAACGATAAACATTTGTATTAAACTCCTGCCCGGTGGCTAAGGCCTCCACACCAGACAGAGTACCACAATGTCCATTGAATTGAAGCAAAAAAATGGGGCGAAATCATCACATTCTTGATCATTCTAATACACGCTATGCTTCTAATCAAGTACAATTTGAGAGAGCCATTTTCCAGGCCAAGGTTTCCCCCTAGTACTTTGTAACCCTTGGGGGCCACCAAGCTTTTTTTGCCAACGGAACCTGCGTGGATCGTCGTCGGGTCTGGCAGGCGCATCAGTCGCCGCGGCAAAATAAACAAAAGCGGGGATGCCGAGCTCGACGATGGCTAGCATGAGGAAAATGCTAACGACTCAAACTGCGCTGCAAAGCCTCTCCAACTCGACACGAGATCCTTAACACACAAAACGGATAAATTGGAACAACAAGAAGTGGGAAAAAATCGCAACGTTCGGAAATGTTGCATTTGATCAATCACGGAACCGGGCGACACGCTCAGATTTCCCACGCTTCAGTGCGAATGTACTTGGGGCTCACCGCAGCCCAAAGTGAAGTTTCATCGGCAGATTTTGAGGTCCAACAATGCACAGACTACAACCAACGCTAGCTTTATTACACACTTGCGACCCTGCTGGGGAGAAGTGGTTCAGAAAAGGGATGGATGGATCGCAAATGCGATGACATCGCACGGTCCTAATAGTCATTAATCCCTATTGGAATACCAGCGGACACAGCTCATTGAACAGCAGCGATGGGAAGCCATCTTTTTCAGCATTTGTTTCTAATTTGGTCCTTGAAAATGTTTTTGCATAAAAATGACGATTAGCACTAAAACCATCGGCGTCCTGCATTGATTTCAAAGTATGTGTGTGCAATGTGCATTGTTGAAAGGTCACTACAAAGTAAATCATTCTGCGAGTGACTTATTCTTTGAAGCATTAATATTAAAGATCTACATATGACTCACACAGACACACAGTATACCACGCCCGCACGCAGTCCTGCTCTAATGTTCCTGACAACATTTTTTTAAACAGGAAAATTAAGATAAATCGTTCAGGACGGAAAGAGGAAAGGAAGGAAATAAAAGACATAATTTTACTCTGCCACTAACACATACTGTATGTGGTGTCTATGTTTGTCGAATACTCATTGAATGGTGTTATAAAATATATTAAAACAATAGAAAAGTAACGGAGCCTCAGTATTTTTTGTTAATTTATTTATAAATGTAAATATATCTTTTTGTTCTACATTTCAATGAAAATGTTCCAAAATCTTGAGACATAAAATTTTGATAATGGCAATTAAAAAGGATGTACTTTAATTATTTTTGCTCAAACACCAGTATGATCAGGGGCATAAAAAAACAACAACAAATAAACGATACTGCTGTTTATCACCATAGTGTGTGTGTGTGTGTATATATATATATATATATATATGTATATATATATATATATATATATATATATAGATAGATAGATAGATAGATAGATAGATATACAGTCATACCTCGGTTTTCGACCATAAAACCGAGGCACCCGAGGCATAAAAAACGCGAAATTTTTGGTCGAAAACCGATTTGGTCGAGAACACAGACGTTGGAAAACCGAGGTTTGACTGTATAGATATATAAAATTGTGACAGGCCGACCAATAAATAATATAAATACTGGACACAGACAAAAATGAAATCTATTATGAAGCCTTTGAAGGTTTGACGGAAGTTTTCGAAAACCCTGAACACTTTTTGGTGTGAGGCCTTTACATCAGTCAAAGTGAGCCCCTTAGTGAGTGCAGCGCACCCAGAAAATACTCACAAAGCCTCACCTTTTCTGCAACAAGACACTCCTCGACATAGCTCGGAGGGCTGCAGTTTCCGAATCACGACTCTTGGTTGGTGGCGCAGACAGGCCGCCATGCTGGGGCAATGCATTTGGGACGTCACGGTTTCCTTGTCGCTGCCCTCTTGGTTACGATTGGCGCGGCTGCTCCTTGCCTTCCAGTTTGTCAGCACGTCGCCATCTTGCTTGGACCTCTTCATTGCTGGCACGTCGTCATTGTCGGCTATCAGACGGCAGACCGCGGGGGCGACGGAGAGCGTTTCGTCTTTTTTCTGAGTAGCTTGATCGCCGGAAGAGGATGACCCGGGGCCTCGTTGCCGATTTGAGGGCACTTTTCCAGAGAGCGGTAAAGAGAGGGATGTCAAGATGGAGTCACCCATGTTTGGTGGGAGGGGTGCTGGGGGGGAGATACAATACAACAATTCAATATTTTTTTTCCATATTTTGTTATGTTACAGCCTTGTTTCAAGATGAGAAATGTGAATTTGATTCCTCACAATTCTACACACCACCATGAATATTTAGCACATTTATTAAGTATTCTAAATCTTTTGTTATTTCACATTTGGTAGCAAATCCAGCTTCAACTCTAATGCCACAACCTTGTTCATAATTTATTTAAAACAACCACAGTTTAGTCCATTGAGCTAAATGGTAACAAACAATGTAAAATGCCAATGACAGGCTAACGAATAGCATCGGTGTGGCTGTGCTGCATCGCTTGAAGCAACGGCGATTTGAAAATTATATTTCAGTACGCAAAGGCACAAATTATTCATCCTCAGTGAAGAATACTGTCAGTTACTGCGAAAATTCTTCTCCATCTTTATCTGTCCCGAGTGGCCAAGGCGTCCACACCAGATGGTGTAGCGCAACGTCCACGGAAGCAAAACATTTGGCCAATTCTTTCCAATTTCTTTCGTTATATTCTACTGTTAGCTTTTAATCAAGTACAATATAAAAGTGCCATCTTCCTAAAAAATAAAGTGTGAGATGCATGTGGGCACACGAAAAATATTCAAAATGGGGTGTTCATACTTCTCCTCAAAACAGCACAACATTGCATGATGACAGGTTTACCTGCGGCGTCGAGATGCCCAAGACCGGCTTCATGGTCAAGCAAAATTTTCAGGAGCTGCTGCTGGCTGGCGGCATGGGCGCACTCTTCCAAGACCGCGGGAGTCTCACTGAGCCAGGACACAGTCTGCACACCGGACCACAAACACTCTTCAATCCGGGCGACTGTGACGGACATTTGCTCTCCCTTACCTGAGAAAGGCTCGGCACCGGGAGAAGTTGATCCAACCGAACCAGGAACTCCCACAGTAGCTTCTCCATTGACTGGTCGAATAAAGGTCCATAGCCCTCGAAAAACTCCTCCTGTCAGTGAGAGATACCGTAGAACCTTGTTTAAGTTGATACATTCCAAGTCCACCCACCAGGGATGAAAAGCTGTCAGAGAGATGTCATTCAAATCATTTTTAAATATAGCTTTTGTAATTTTTAATTCACAAGCTAGCTACAGATATGCCGCTGCTTGAGTGAAATGGAAAAAAAAAAAATAAAGTAGATTAACATTCACAGATTTCAGCCGCCTGTTTAACTTTGTGGGGCTGTGGCTACAATTCATTAGTTATGTGCAATTGTTGCCTGGAAGCACTCGCCTGGAAAAACTCCTCTTTTGCAACCTGGTCAGTGAGCAGTTCGTGGACCAACGTGTGAAAACTCTTGACTGATGTGTTCACCTTGACGTCTGTCTTCTGCGGGGGCAAAAGCTGGATGAGCTCAGATCAGAGAGGAGAAATCAAAAGTGCGCGCCTACCGCGGTAGGAGCCGAAGAGGTGGATGGTCGAGAAGGAGCGCTGATCTTTTTCAGTTGGGTCCCGATGATGCTGGTATCGGGTTGGGGGACACGCAGGAGCTCCAAGATTAGCTGGAAAAGAAGCGGAGCGAGAGAGTTGCGGTCAGGCGAGGTCCAAGAGACACCGCTTTTCTAAAATGGAGACAAACTATTTATGTGGCACTTTGCTACACGGAAGACAAGCAACTGATCACGCACTTTCCCAAAGACAATCCAAACTTGTGACATGAATGTTCTGAAACAAACACCCACCCGCGCTCTCAGCCCTAATGCGAGCTTGGCCTGGTGCCTCAGAGTGAGCAAGCCTGGCACCGTGTCGCAAGTGGACTCCACAAACTCTGCCAGGACCCCGTACTGCGCGACATCCCGCTGTTTCATGACCTTCCAGAGGGCTGCGGACATCAAGCGCACAGGCGGAGCCAGCTGCCGCAAGGCGGTGAAGGGGAGATTGACACCTAGGCAGGAGGAACAACACAAGGGCACAAGGGAAACACCTCAACATATGTTCTCAAGACCTAAAGGCAAAGTAGTAACACGTATTTTAAGGGCAAAATGTGTAAATATCTCAGCTTGTTTTTATTGATGACAAAGCAGTTATTTTGGGATAGTATGATATCTACTTTTATAAGATGCATCGAATGACATTCGTATTATATATATATATATAAATATATATATATATATATATATATATATATTAGGGGCATGCATCGCTCGGTCAAAGACAATTCGTCGATACGTGGGGTACGAAACGATCCACGGATTGTTCGTGATAAAGTGAAATAATTTGTTCGACTCAGTAAGACTACGATTCGATTCGATATGGTACGGCCCGGCCCAGAGTATGATGCAATTACTTTTTTTAGTGATTTTACATACATTTGAAGTAAAAGATGGTTCCATACGTATTGTGACGGTCCTTCAGTGTGGTTAAGAATGTAAACAGTCGCTGATGCAATCTGTTCGCTTTTTAATAAAAGGATTCGATGAAATGGACTCGCTTCTTCAACGGGGGAGCGGGTTGCGCGCGCGCGCACACTTGCATATATCGTAGATAACTTGAATTGTAGTCATTAAAAGTAAGCGATATGAGAAACGCACAATTTAATTAAAGCTACGTTAAGGTTACTCACCAGCAGACATGTCGTTCGGCTTCCTTGATACCATTCTTCGGATCAGATAAATTGTTAACAGCGAGTTTAGCAACTGCCTAGTCCGCTCCTTGACTTGACGAAAAACGAACTAAAGGTCGCTTCTTTTGCAAAAAACGGAATTGACTTTTTTTCAGTCAAAGAGTGCCTGCCGTCGTTTGATCGCGGGTTGTGCCGCGCACCAAGCGCGCGTCTACTCGAAAGTTCCGCTGACGTTTCTTCAACTCCCGCCTTGAGTAAAGTGTCTAACTTTAGTCCCGAACCTACTGCGCGGGAGGTGCTTATGTAAATCGACTGTCTGGAAATACGTTCGTCTGACATGCCCCGCTCACTCGAGCAAAGCAGTTTGTAAAACAAGCACATCGACAGCTTTTCCGGATATGACGCACTTTAGTGCACTCTGAGTCGTTTGTCAACTGTTAAAACGTTATTACTGTAATAATTTTAAGAACAGTTGGAGAGCCCCTAAAAATATATAATTTATGTATTTTTTAATCTGTACAGTATGTGTTTTAAGTAATCATTTTTTAAAATTAAACTCATGATACGCATTTATACTGAAAAAGAGTACCGATACTTGTGTAAAAAGTACGGATTCCTGACATTTTCAAGTAAAAGTTCAACAGGTAGAGACCGAAAAAATACGTTAGTACAAAAAAATGCATCCAAGCTAAATTTGTTAGTGATTAAAATGTGAAGAAAAAAACCTCTATACTCGATGTGTTTTTTTCAGATTACAATTTTTGAATGCCAGAATCTGGTATTTTTTTTCCGGGAAGCAAAGCAATAGCTCTCTATTTACAGTATATCTTTGTATGTTTTTTAATCTGGGGGGGGGGGATTTACAATTTGGGAGTGAAAAGTTCAATTGTTGGGAGTAAAAGTATAAATTAGTAAGAAAAATAAATTTTCATGTTCCGATATCTGAAACAGTGAAAAAGTATTTACATTCACACGGTAAAATAATTACCGTGAGCGTCTGTTGATAGTTTACGCTTGAGTACACAATCTGGATGAACTTTGCCTACATGCTGCTGAATCTGATCGGTCATCACTTGTGGAGCAAAGTCCAGGGTGACCTACTGTCAGGAAAGCTGACATTGTTTTTGTTCGTCACACCAGTGAGAACAAGAGAATCTACCAGAATGGACACGACGTCCTCATTGCTGAAGTAAGTAAGAGTTTATTACGGTTAGTTTGGAAATTTCAGAGAAATTTCACATTTCCAATTTGGAATGCGGTATTTCCAAAATTCTCCAGTTTAACTTCCCATGGAACTTCCCATGGAAGTGAAAGCATGTACTGGAAACGTCTAAATAATTTCACCTCTTTGCGGTATATGTGATAGATCTCAATCTGTTTTTTTTTTTTCCGGTGCCTCCAGGTCGGTCACCAAGCGAGTGTGGGCCGCGCCCCAGCGACCATTCAGGGTGCGCAGTCACAACCGGGAGGCCAAGAAGGGCATCACAGCCGGGACTTTGGAGGAACTGAAAGAGAGGGTGATTTCTCCGATGGTTTCCGAATTTCATTATGGATTCTTGCAACTGTGTGTTTGGTTCCAGGTCTGTCGGGCGTTGTCGCTTGTGTCTCTGGCGTCCTTGGTCTGCGAGGAGGACGGGACAGAGGTGGACTCGGACGACTTCTTGGCAACTCTGCCGGACAACGCCGCCATTGTGGCCTTGGAGCCTGGACAGATGTGGCGGCCGCCATCGGTACTGGTATTTTGTTAATTCACTCCAATTTCTCTATTCTTTTCTTGGGTGCACCTTCAGCAGTTCATTATGCATCCTCGCTGACCTGCAGAAACAAATTGTCTGCCCAGAGAGAGGAGCGAGTTACTACAACTGTGCGCCTTTTCACCGCTTTACTGTTCCCAACCACCCCAGGGTGCGGCTGTCCCCCGAAGTCAAGACAAGCTCAAGTCCAAGACGGGAAAAGACATCGCCAGTGTCACCTTGGACCTTTACAAAATGAGCCCCAAGGATTTGTTTGGCTCTCTGAGCGTGAAGGCCACTTTTCAAGGCTTGTACTCGGTCAGCGCCGACTTCCAGTGTCTGGGGCCCAAGAAAGTCCTCAAGTGAGTAGAAGCCCAAAAGCCGAGTCCTGCAACCTTTGGCTGTTGTTTTTCCACAAAATGGATCAATACAAATAGATTTGATTGATCTCTCTCACAAAATAGAGAGGCCCTGCGCGTGGCCTCGGGCCTCCTCAATGCCGCCGGACACCTGCTCATCACCTGTGCTTCCGTGATCCGCCGCGTCATTGAGGGCGTGGAGCTTTGGCAGCCGCCGCAGACCGCTTATCGGAACTGATCGAACGGGCTTGGTATTGGATGAAAAAAGGACAGCACTTGGACCTGCCAAGTCAAAGTGAAAGTTTCAAGTTGATTTTGTACATACGCCTGAAGCCAAACTCTTGTTGCAGGTCAATCTGGGCTTTTGTGCTGCGTTTTTTTTTTTTGTAAATATCAATCATCACCAATCATTCATAAATGTTCTGGTGCATTTAATGTTGTCTTCGATGAATGTAACGCAAGCGTTCAAGAGCTCTCGAGTCAAGACGGGAGCACGTGCAGAGGTGGAACAGCTTTATTGAATTGTACGCGGATGACAGAGACACTCGCGTGACCTTCAACCGCAAAAGGGACACTTAATTTCAAGGCAACAAAATATAATCAACACGACCTGAAAGTGAACATCACTAAAACATTAAAACTTTGGCATTGGTCACAGTTAAAAACAACAAATAAAATTCATCTAATTCTAAACGGTGCGTCACGGAAGAGAACAGTTTGGTTGCATATAACGTTAAGCATTTCAAATACACTGATTCCCAATCACTTCATTACTTCAAAAACTATCATTTACTTACCATAAATAATGTACCTTTCTTCATCTATCTATGACAATGACATATACCGCAGCGACAGGGAGGTAATATTCTTCCACTAGATGGCAGCAAGTCCACTTCTTGCTTTGTAGTCCCCTTCACGACTCAAGATTTCACATTGAGTCAATAAATTTGTGGAGAAAAAAAAAAAAGGGAGGAGGGTTCAGCTTTCTTTAGAAAGCGGTGGATAAAAGTATTACTTTGGCGTCAACTTGGAGTAAAAAATGATGTCGAATTGCATTCATGAGTTTCATTCAGATGAAAATAGTGCTTTGCTGTTATCTTCGTGTCAATAAACTATGTTGAAGTGCGCTGCGGACTTTCATTCTGACAAAAATTGTGCTTTGCCGGCATCAATGAACTATGTTGAGATTACGCGTTAATATTGCTTTGTTGCCATTTTATGGCCTTTTGATGTCAACGAACGATGCTGACGTGAGTGGAGGAGTTTAATTCAGTCCCAAATAGTGGCACAGTGTGTCAATAAACTATGTTCAAGTGAGTTAAGGGGTTTAATGTGTTCATACAAAGTGCTTTGCTACCATCTTGTGGCATCTCGAGGTAATTATAAACCATTGTGGGGGGTGACAATCGGGTTCACTCTATATCACTCTTGTGACATTTTTTGAGGTATGTTGTGCCAGATTTTTTTTCCCCAGTGTATAAAATATGTGAAACACCATTCTAACAAACAAGATATTAAAACGTTACCTGAAGGTTAAAGGTCGGAACGATATAAGCGAATGGACCGTTATTGCTTGGCATTGGAGAGTCCAATGGGAATAAATATCGTAGGAACGGCAGTGTAACTGTTAGCGTACATACAAGCGGCGCTGAAGACTCCCTCGGGCGTTCAGCCGTCGTTGCCGAAGACGGTGTTGAGCTGCTGGGTGACCCTGATGAAGGTGGTCCTGCGGCTCAGCTCCTTCAGCTTGGCTGCCCCCACGTAGGTGCACGTGGAGCGCACCCCGCCCAGGATGTCTCGCATCGTTGCCTCCACGGGGCCTTTGAACGGCACTTCCACAGTTTTGCCCTCAGACGCTCTGCGGGTGGGGGGCAAAGGGGCATTTGTTTTAAACATCTTTCACTCTCTTGCCTGCGACCACTTAAATGGTGTATGTGAAGCACATTGAGTTAGCTCGTGTGTGCCTGCGGGCTTCTCAAATACACTCATCAGATATGAGGCCAGCACCTTCGATGTGTCGTAAATCTCTTAACAGCGCACCACCTTTTAATTGCTTCATTGATTGGGACTTACCGGTACTCGGCCAGGACGCCGGCGTGCTTCTTCATCGCCACTTCAGAGCTCATGCCGTAGAAAAGCTTGTATTTCTTGCCCAGCTTCTCGATGGTTTCGCCGCCGCTCTCGCAGTGGCCCGCCAGCATGCCGCCCAGCATCACAAAGTCGGCTCCGGCGCCTGACAGATGTCACGTCGATGAGGGGGAAAAAAAAAAAAAACAGCTCTTTGTTGCAACTCATCCATGGGACTCACCGAAAGCCTTGGAGACATCCCCCGGGCATGTGCATCCTCCATCCTGTGGGAGAGACGCCATGCCGGCTATAAAGCAGTGGTTCTCAAATAGGGCTGAATGATTTGGAGAAAAAAAAATATAGATCATAATCTATTGGTTTTCCACCCCTCAATATTGCAATTGTGATTACATGATTATTTTTTTCTTCCCATATCAAATCACAATCGTAGTACTGAAAAAAACAAAATCAAAAACAAAAAAAAAAAACGCTGACATTATTTTTTCCCAAAAATCGTTCAGCCCTTAGTGCTCAATTGTGATAAAATCTTTGCTCGAAAAAGTTGGCAAATTGTTAAGATGCCAACATTGACTTTGGAATAAAACCCATTTTTCCCCCAAAGAAAATCTGCATTTTTGGGGGGTAAGGTTATAACTGTCATCCTATTTTGACGGAATAATAGGTGTGCTATTACAAGAGCAAAATTGTACTTTTGAAATTCACGTGTTAAAATGGGAATTCCTTTCCTCATTAATCACTGCCTTTAAAATTGTATCACAATGAGAAATTTGAACAAGAATTCTTGGAAAAATAAATATGATTCTGATGACGATTTATCACAACAACTTATTTTTCGTCAAAAATATGACTGTTTGATAGCATTCCAATTTTTTTCTTCCAAAAACATGACTGTTAGCATCACAATGATTAACTGGTGTGAAGCTAACAAAGGGATCGCCGTGGACCCAAAACGTTGGCATCTCAACAATCCGAACATTCCTTCACAATGGAGGCTCACTGAAATGATGTGGCCATTCAGTCCGTGGGCCGCGTCCGCGCACTCGATCACCGCGCTGAGCTGAGGGTACCCCACGCCGGTCTTCTTGCGCGTGGTGCACACGGAGCCTGCGGAAGACAGCAAAAGTTGGGCTGCGCTCCACTTCGCCAATGAACCAACTCTGCAGATACAGTCAACCGTCTCCAATTCCCCAATTCCAATTAACTCAAGGCGTGAGTTGTTTTGGGTGAGCTAACGTCAATTCATTAGCTTGTTGTGTGTATCATCAATTCTTAAAAGTAAAAATCTAAAATGGCTACCAAAAACCAACAATGCTGTTCGCTAAGATGTACTATACCTTGATTATACCTGTTAACGACATCTCAGAATTTATGTGGCGTTTCTCCCGTTAATTGGTACTTTTACAAGTTGTAAAATATATTCCTCCTGCTTTCTCGCACTTCTCTGCATTTCTTTTGGGGGCGAGTTTTGTTTCATTCTGCACAGACTATTCACAGCAAGCCTTGGTCCCTACCCCGTGCGCATAGTGAGGGTTCAGTGTAAAAAGCCGCCTGAGAAGATGACAATTGCTGCGGTCACCTGGTCCGATGCCCACTTTGATGATGTCCGCACCGGCCAGGATCAGCTCTTCCACCATCTCTCCCGTCACCACATTTCCTGCCTGAAAACATGGGGGAATACAATGACTACATTCGAGGTTAAATTCAGCTTAAAATCCATGAATTACGGTTGGGAAACGCTGCGGAAACAGAAAGAAAAAAAACACGCCCACTGACCATTATCGTGTGCGAGGGGAACTTCTGCCGCACATCCTTGACAAAGTGCACAAAATGCTCCGAGTAGCCGTTTGCCACGTCCACGCAGATGTACCGTAGCTGCGGGACGGCGGCCAAGATGGCGGACATCTTCTGGAAGTCGGCCTCGCCGGTGCCCGTGCTGACCGCAACATTCTGGGAGGGGGCAAAAAAGTGGAAACAACAGGCGGGCTGCTGTCAAAATCTCATGTTGTAAAACTGGAAGCCGTTGATTGGAATGAATGAGGAATTAATATGAAACGTTGGGAGAAATATATTTTACCATAACCCCAACTAAAATAAATAAGTTTCCTGCAAATCTTTGAAAAAACTCATTGGAAAAGCCCCAACCTAACTTTGTACGCTGCTCACCATGCATACCACCGCCCACACTCTCTGTCGCAGCAGTTTTATTAATTGTATTCTCCAAGTCAACACTACTTTAGACCACCTGTTGGTAAAATTTTTCACACCAGATAAAGTTCTCCTGATGAACAAACTGTTGAAATATGATGGTTTCTAATTGTCTCCTTTTTTCCTTCGTGTCGGCTTCGAGAAAAAAAAACGTAACAAGTACCTCGAGGCATTCTGGTTGCTTGGCCGCAAACTCCTGCCAGTCTTCCACGGAGTAATGCTTGTGGACTGCAGTGAAGACGGTGAACTAGCGGAAGAGAACAGATGAACTGATTGCTCGTCATGCAAGGTGGTTCTGGTTCCCATCAGAACACGTTGCCTACGTTGTTTAAAGCCCTCGCCATCTCAAAGGTGCCCACTGTGTCCATGTTCGCCGCAATGATGGGGATTCCCGTGTAGCTGCCCTTGGAGTTCCGGAATGTAAACGTCCTCAGCAAGTCCACCTAAACAGATACACAATGGGTGACCGATGATTGCGGTTTAATAGTAATCATCGTAATCACCATCACCACCGTCACGTGTTATGGATAGATATGAAATTGTATCGACCTCACTCCTTGATTTGAGGGTGCTGCGCTTAGGCCGGAGGAGCACATCTTTAAAATCCAGCTTGATGTCATTCTCAATACGAGGCATGATGGAAACTGAAGACACACCGAAATTGTGTTATTATTATTACCTGCACACAACACACATAGATATGTGACTAGAATGTTAAGACATCCAGATGAATGTTTACAGCCTGGCTGGCACGATAATGACACATTTGGAGGAAGAAAAGAACAAAGCAAGTTAGTTCTACGAAACTAGTTGCGACTTCCATCTGGTCCCAGGGTTGCAAAAATGTAAAAATGTGCATGCTAGCAGATTGTAACGACATCGGAACCCAGTAATCAAGGTTTTCGGCATAAATTGGAGACACTAGAGAGGTTTACCTGCCTAATTGTTAACTTACCGGTTTTCTCGACCTCACTCCTTGATTTGAGGGTGCTGCGCTTGGGCCGGAGGAGCACATCTTTAAAATCCAGCTTGATATCATTCTCAATACGAGGCATGATGGAAACTGAAGACACACCGAAATTGTGTTATTATTATTACCTGCACACAACACACATAGATATGTGACTAGAATGTTAAGACATCCAGATGAATGTTTACAGCCTGGCTGGCACGATAATGACACATTTGGAGGAAGAAAAGAACAAAGCAAGTTAGTTCTACGAAACTAGTTCTGGGACCAGACTTCCATCTGGTCCCAGGGTTGCAAAAATGTGCATGCTAGCAGATTGTAACGACATCTGAACCCAGTAATAGACACTTCAAGGTTTTCGGCATAAATCGGAGACACTAGAGAGGTTTACCTGCCTAATTGTTAACTTACCGGTTTTCTGTTAAGGTTAAAAACGTGAAATCGATAACCTTCAATATGAGTGAGTCGCATTAACTTCCCGTTGCAAAGCGTTTGCGCATATTGAGCGGGAAACGAGAAAGCCGCCTTGTAGTTTTTTGTCTTGCACCAAGCGTAGAGCTAGTCGGCCATTAGAACTACATAGTTGAAAATTACTTTACGGCACATCAAAAGAAAATGTCGTAAAAAGCATCCAGCGGAAAAGGAAATGTTTTTTGTCGGATAAAACTTTATTTATAACAACTGCATGGCAATTAACGACTCCCGTCCTGTCGAATTTATAAATATAAATAAAAATAAAAGTAATTTACGGGGAACTTTTTCACAGCACATTTTCACGCAATCATAACGTACCCATTGTGTATCTGCAGTTTTTGTCCTCTACGTTTTTTTCCCGTCCAAATGACAATGGAACACGCTTATGAACGGAGAAACGACAAGTAAGTTCTAGTTCTAAACAGCGAGTTCATAAACAGGACCTCATCTCTATAAAGTATCTGCCTATGAAGTCAACTATTGATACAGTATTTAAAAGCCCTTAATGTACAGTACGGCGGCCCGGTGGTCGACCGGTAAGCACGCCGGCCTCCCTGTGGCAACTGCATGGCAATTAACGACTCCCGTCCTGTCGAATTTATAAATATAAATAAAAATAAAAGTAATTTACGGGGAACTTTTTCACAGCACGTTTTCACGCAATCATCACTGACCCATTGTGTATCTGCAGTTTTTGTCCTCTACATTTTTTTCCCATCCAAATGACAATGGAACACGCTAATGAACGGAGAAACGACAAGTAAGTTCGAGTTCTAAACAGCGAGTTCATAAATAGGACCTCATCTCTGTAAATATCTGCCTATGAAGTCAACTCTTGATATTTAAAAGCCCTTAATGTACAGTACGGCGGCCCGGTGGTCGACCGGTAAGCATGCCGGCCTCCCTGTGCAGCGTTGGCAACCAGTTCAGGGTGTACTTCGCCTACTGGGAAAGGCTCCAGCCTGCCCCGCGACCCTTGCGAGGATAAGCGGATCAGAAAATGGATAGATGGATGTACCGTACCTCTTCAGGCTTTTCATCTGATACCACCTCAAAAAACACTTGCCCCCCATAAGTCAGGTGGGTGGACAATAAGTGAGGCATGCAAACAGGTCTCTCGGTTAGATAAGCTTTTTCAAAGCGGTATTTGAAAAACTTTGACAGTCTCCATCATTTCAAGCTTGAAAGGCCCACCCCTGCTCTAAATTGTCCCCAGGTGTTAGCATGGATGGTTGGCAACCAGTTCAGGGTGTACTTCGCCTACTGGGAAAGGCTCCAGCCTGCCCCGCGACCCTTGCGAGGATAAGCGGATCAGAAAATGGATAGATGGATGTACCGTACCTCTTCAGGCTTTTCATCTGATACCACCTCAAAAAACACTTGCCCCCCATAAGTCAGGTGGGTGGACAATAAGTGAGGCATGCAAACAGGCCTCTCGGTGAGAGCTTTTTCAAAGCGGTATTTGAAAAACTTTATTGACATTCTCCATCATTTCAAGCTTGAAAGATCAGTCCGGTTTATTCATGACCAACTCAACGACCTATCCGACATCCACAACTTGAAACCTGACCTCCTCACCCGAACAAACAAATGGTGAGTGAATGCATTGAAGCCATGCCGAGATCTGTACATGCCCTTTGACTTCTGGACATCGACATTCAGGGGGGGGAAAAAAACGGCACAAACACCAAATACGTCTGTCAGTGTTTTATTTGCTAGGAGACAATCGACCGTGTACACAATATCACTAGGCACATCATCACAGCATTGTCACTGTAAAGAACCCATCCAAACAAGAGAAACAGACACAAAACTGGCCCGGCATTGGTTATAATTCCATGCCATCGTGTTTTGGGGGGTACGGGCACTCCTGAGAGAAATACATATCAAAGTAGCACCTGTACAGATGGTTAGCGTTTTTGTTTTTGGCAGCATAGATAAGGAGGCTGGGTTGCCCAGAGAAACCGAGGTAATTATTGCTGGTATGAAAACATTGTCGACAGGCGGAGGATGAACATTTTTGGACATAATGTATTATCAAACACCTGGTTCAATTCAAAAGTGCGTGTTCATTTCAATATATATGTCCTGCAGTCTGTTTTGTGTGTGTGTGTGTGTGTGTGTGTGTTTGTGTGTATGTATGTATGGGCGGCACGGTGTTCATCTGCTGAACACATCTGCCTCACAGTGCAGAGGTCGTGGGTTCGATTACTTTTTGTCCTCCTTAAATACGCAGTGTGACTCACAAATGCAATAACGGATGACTCATCACCTTTTTTGGATGACCACCTCAGAGTCGGGCGGTGAATAGGAGCTAAAAGTGCGTGTGTATTTCAATATATATGTGCTGCAGTCTGTTGTGTGTGTGTGTGTGTGTGTGTGTGTGTGTGTGTGTGTGGGCGGCACGGTGTTCATCTGCTGAACACATCCACCTCACAGTGCAGAGGTCGTGGGTTCGATTCTGGGCTCAAGCCTTTCTGTGTGGAGTTTGCATGTTCTCCCCCGTGCCTGCGTGGGTTTTCGTCAGGTACTCCGGTTTCCTCCCACACTCCAAAAACAAGCACGTTAAGTCAATTGATCACTCTAAATTGTCCTCAGGTGTGATTGCAAGCCCAAATGGTTGTTTGTCTATGTGTGTCCCTCGATTGGCCGGCAAACAGTTTGGGGTGTAGCCCGCCTGGTGCCCGAAGTTGGCTGCGATAGGCTCCAGCACGCCCGCCACCCTCGTGAGGATAAAGCGGTTCAGATAATGGATGGCTATACATATATAACTCTTAATTCTATGAATAATGATCTCATAATTATTCTATACTTTAAACAGCAAAATCGTTGGTTACAAAAATATTTTTGTCCAGACAATCAATGCCTTTTCTTTTCCGTTCAATGCTGTTCATAGAGCATTCAGGGGGTCGGCGTTTGGGTTAATTGCATCAACAATTCAAATGTAGTGGTGAAAAAAAAAACATTTCCAGCTATTATCTGCATGGTTTGAATCACAATAAAATCGCCTACGATAGACAAATGAATGTTTCTGTCTTAATATACATATATAACTCTTAATTCTATGAATAATGATCTCATAATTATTCGATATTTTAAACAGCAAAATTGTTGGTTGCAAAATATATTTTTGACCAGACAATCAATGCCTTTTCTTCTCCGTTCAATGCTGTTCATAGAGCATTCAGGGGGTCGGCGTTTGGGTTAATTGCATCAACAATTCAAATGTAGTGGTGAAAAAAAAAACATTTCCAGCTATTATCTGCATGGTTTGAATCACAATAAAATCGCCTACGATAGACAAATGAATGTTTCTGTCTTAATATCAGTCATCGCGTGACTTGAAATGCCACAACATGCCAACGAATTCACGCATCGTCTGCATAGTATACAGAGAACCCCGTTCAAAAAAATGAATCAATGCCTTTTCTTCTCCGTTCAATGCTGTTCATAGAGCATTCAGGGGGTCGGCGTTTGGGTTAATTGCATCAACAATTCAAATGTAGTGGTGAAAAAAAAAACATTTCCAGCTATTATCTGCATGGTTTGAATAACAATAAAATCGCCTACGATAGACAAATGAATGTTTCTGTCACATCAGTCATCGCGTGACTTGAAATGCCACAACATGCCAACGAATTAAGGCATTCACGCATCGTCTGCATGGTATACAGAGAACCCCGTTCAAAAAAATTTCATTGCCACCCTCCTCAAACGGTTTGGAATAGCCGATAGATGTCATAAGATAGTGGCAAAGGATTACTTTTGTCAGCATGAAGCCCCTCAACTCACTTCGGGATAGTTCCTTCACACCCAATTGCCACAAGATGGCACTAAAGCATTACGAACAACAATTATGCAGCGATTCACTGGAAGCCTCTGGAGGACTAAGTAGTAAAAATAAAATGCAAATGAATATGAGGCTGGCAATTAAAATCAAGCATATCTAAAAAAAAAAAAAAATCAGTCAAAAAAAATATCAATCAAAATAAAAATAATTATAAAACAACAAATGCATTCTGGAATCTTTGCACTTCACGTACTTCACAACAAGAAAGGTGTAGAGACTCAAATTTGGTGATTTGAATGTGTGGAAAAAGCAGACATTTACAAGATTGAAAACAAAAGTAGAAAAACAATAAGACGTCATCACAGTGAAACCATTTAACAAAAATAATAATAATAAGACATCCTCAGATGTTTCTCTTACAGGAGTGTGAAGATGATGAGCTCGCCTGTCTATTTATTGCACACTTTTAAAAAAACCCCGGCTGAAGGCTTGTGGGGTTGATATTACTCTTACAAATGTCACATCATATTTGGCACAGAGATTAAAAATTAAAAAAAAGATGCATCTAAACATATCCAGTAAGAGAGGGGGTACACATACTGATCATAAATCCACATCAAACTGTGGTACAAACTTTGTCGCTTCAGCAGTCCGCTGATTTTTGGTTTTCGCCGTCCTCTTTGGACAGAGGGGACCTGGCCTCCTTCATTTCCTCACCCTCGTCTCCGTTGTCGGGCGTCTGAGCGGGATAAACCACCACGCAAAACTTCTGACCCAAATATGTCATCTTATCTGAAGGAGGAGACGCACGCGGCATTAGTTTTGGATTGACCGCTGAGTGAAAGAAATGAGCGACTGAGGACTGAGATCAAGAGGATTGGCATGGGGCCATACGGGCGCCTGCCAACCTGCGGGAGCCAGAATTCTGGCCCACTGGTAAGGGATTACCTTTTTTTTTACTGCTATGATCAGTCATCTACCATGCAAATTGGATTAGTAATTCATTGAATTCCTTGGTAAGCGAGCACGCTGGCGTCGATAATTTCACAGCCCGACATCGGACAAACCTACCGACAAATGCGTCGAAGCACTTTGGCTTGTTGTCCCAGTAAACACCCAGGAAATAGACGGGCACGCCGGTGAGCATAATGGCCAGGCCGATGCCGCACACCACAGGCTCCGAGTAAAGCGAGAAGATGAGCAAGAAGGCCCAGAAGAGCAGATAAATGACCGGCCATATCAGGCTGATCTGAAAGCAAAAGAAGAACTTCAGTCCCACTCCCAAAAACCGACCC